TGCCGTTTGAACTGGCGTGCCGCGTGGCAGCGACCAAGATGGGCGACATGGGAACTGCTTCCACACGCAAAAAGACGTCGAAGGTTCTGGGAAACTCCGTGGTTTGAGAGATATTCTGAAAGAAATGGACGGAGCTTTCCGGAGCATATTCAGGTTGCATCTGTTTCTTTCTATAGAGCTCTGGTCGGAGCTGCGAGAGAAGGAGCGTGAAACGACTGCGAAAGAGGAGGAAGAAACAAAGACAAAACGCCACCGTCTGAAAAGGCGGAGAGCAGCTCCGTTTTGCTGGTCCCCCCTTGCTGGTCGCACTCCTCACTTGGGTTCGTGTCGCACCCCCCTCCCCCCTCCCTTCACTCTCCTTTTTCCCTTTTGCGTTTCTTTGGGTGTCGAGATGCTGTCAAAGAAGATTGTGACCTGGGCATTCTTTAATCAGGTGCCTTTGTTGAGATATGTAACGTATCGAACGTGAACAAGAATAGCGTAAAGATTTCTTTGAAAGACATTCCCTCCCGGGCGTCGCGGTGTCTTCCGTCTGTGCATATCAACTCCCGTATGGGGTATCAGAGAGGCGAAAAAGAAGTTGCGAGTACTTGCCAAGTGGGAAGCTCTCACGCAAAGCCGTGGGTCATCCTGACATGCCCGGGACATCATCAGAATGGCTCCTTTGACCCCCTATCCGGCTGGTCCCGGTCCACGCACGCCCCCCTTTTTCGGTCCACCTCTCCCCCCCCAAGTTTGATTTTTTTCCACGCCCCTCCGAGGCAGCCCAGGGAGGGAGGCGAGGCTCTTCGGTGGGACGCATGCTAGTGTGGCCTTGGCCGCTCTGACTCGAGCGCCCCGGGGCCGAGGAGCGGGCATCCACGAGGGCGATTATAATGCGCCCTCACTCCCCCGGATTCGGGCTTGGATTCTTTTGGATCTTATAATTTTTTTCCTTCTCCATATTCGCAGCCCTATATCGCCATTCAACATACTCTATTGTAACGAAACAACACGAGCAGGATCAGGATCCTCATCACGAACAACGACAACGACATAATTCCCTGTACAAGCACATATACCCATACCTCCTGCTCGTACTACCGCATCACCACAAAACACACAAACACTCAGCACGTCGACGCGAAGCAAGCGACACAACATAAACCACAACACAATCCTGGTCCTCTCAACGACCATCTTCTCTCCAACACAAACAGACTGCGCTGGTCGCTTCAAACACAATGTCTCCCAAGCAGTCATCATCATCAACAACAGAAGCCTACTACCTGCTCCCCAACCTGCAGGCCATGGACCCGACAGCGCGCGAGCTCGACCTCGAGGCCGAGGCGTGGATCCAGCCCATCATCATCGAGGACGAGGATCTCATGTTTGGCGGCAAGCCGCTGAGCGCTTGGTACGAGGAGGACCGCTCGCGACTGAGCAGCAGCAGCAGCAACAGCAGCGACGATGGCAACCAGAGTTTCGAGGAGGAGGAGCGGCGCGGGCGAGAGCGCACGAGGAGGCATTACGACGGCAAGGCGCTGAAGAAGGCGCACCGGAAGTGAAGGAACAATATGAATAAGACATCTCTGGTATATGCGACAGGGGATGAAGTGCCTGCTTGATGCAGGGCTGTCTTCCCCGGCTGCTTCCTCTGCCACGTCTTCCTCTCCTCTTTTGCTTGATGCAATCTATACCCGCAATCCTCTTCCTCATCTTCATCAACCTCATCATCTACGCCAACATCTACGCCCACAATCAACTCTACCCCTCTTCTACTTCTCTCGCTTATGCCACCAACGCCGACCTCCCTCTTCCATCGTTACCATACCCAGCTACAACGAAACAACGCTTTAGACCAATCAACAAACCACGGGAAAGATAGAAAGGAATCATCATCGGCTATTCATCATCGTTCGGCTGCAACATCATACGGGTTACACTGGCGTTACAGCTTTCATCATCATCATCATCATCACATATTCATTCACTGGTTGCATCGGGGACTCAGCGCGGGCTTTGAACTGTTCTTCATCCCTATCACACAAACACTCTGGCATCACCGGAAACAGGGCGACCAACTCGCTGTTGGTTGACTACTTATACCCCTTGGGTTTTGGGGGCTGGATCAACGGGATTTATTCCATTATTGTAGAACAATAATCGTTTGTTTTATCATCACTTATGAAGGAGGGATTATAATGTGGTTTTTGCTATCGAGCAGCTGAGGATGAAGTCATGACGGGATGGGAGATACCATGGTCTTGACACAAACTGAATGGCAGGAATACCATAACAATAAAACATTTACAATGACTTTTGATTCATGAAGTTACCATGACAGGTGTTTGCAAGTAGATGCGAGGACGACCTGCCAGGATGCTCCAGCTATGACACGGACATTACACTCGACACAAGCACATTACCGAGATGCTCTATTACAGGACCATTACAACATGCCGAGAACAGCACCGCAAGAGATGGAAATTTCCGCAGCGATGGAGGTTTCCGCAGTAATGGAAGGTTCCGCAAGTGACATGTCCAGTGACAGATTGGTGTGCGCCCGAGGCGAAACGATCTGCGAAAGGACGTGAATCTTCTAGACCGAAAAGAATTGCGCTGCCTGGCCTGGCCTGGCCTGGGCAACTTGAACAGAAAAAAGACGCGATCTGAGCCGCTGTGGCGTGCGGACGAACTTTGCGCCACGGGCTCAGAACGATATCGGTGGTGGGAGAAGGTGGGAGAATAGGAAGAGTTTTTTTTGGCGACCGGTCGGTCGGCAATTGTGTTTTTTGTGTTTCTATTGGGCGTTTTTGTATTATCCGGTCTGTCGGGTCATTGATTGACTCATTGATGGGTGGTTGAATCATGGAAGCTGTGATTAGATGCATGGAAGGTATGATTGATGCATGGAAGATTTGAATTGATTGGGGAATATTCAGCTGCGTGCGAAATGATGATGTATTTGATGCGTCTTTCTTGCCCTTACTTTCGATTTACACGTGTTTGATGAGGACAAGCTGGTACGATTTCGTGCATCGGGATGTGATTAATCAATCAATCTGGTCTGCTTTAACCTTTTAGTTCAGCTCTTCAGCTGGTCTTGACTGTTGAATTCCTTTGCCCCCTTTTCAGCTATTCCTGGTTGTGAGGTAAGGTAAGCTGTCAGAACGGTATGCCATGTGCAACACCCAGCCACAACGGAACTAAACTTCCAATTACGACACCGGAAGGCAAATACTAAGGAGCAAAAACGACGAGATTATTCCAGTGTTTTCCGGGGAATGCTCTCGGCTGCGGACCATTCTCCGGGGTCGAGGGAACGTATGGCAGAGAAGAATAGGTAGACCGGAGAGAAAGGTTTTTTGTGGCTTCTCCGGTCTGCTACCGATCCTCATAAAACGTCCGGGCAAGGGAAATCGGCTGGGGAGAGGAATTGAACAGAACGGGAAACGGGTGTAGAGAAGGCTTGATGGGTAGAGGGTAAAAATGGCGAAGAGGTGTGAGTGGGCTGTACAGTATGTGGGCAAATTCGTTGAAAGAAGGTGTGGACGGGTTTTGTAATACCCTTTTGCTTTGGCTCTTCCAGTGTGGCTTGACAGTTTTACGAGCAACAGTGTTGGGCGGATAAGGGTTTGTCCTTTGCTGATTGTTCGGAAAAGCCCGTATTCATTGATGTTGTTGGTGTTGCGTCGTTATTGTGTCTAATAATAGGGGACTTTGAGAGCGAACCATCCCGTTAGGCATTGTACGTTTCTCTCGTCTCTGTTATTGCCAAAGGACCAACTTGCTAGTATCACAACGTTCGATGCCAACTGCCCTCCATCGTTTTGCTCGGCACTGGACATGTGGGCGCACACGTGTCGTCCTGTATGTACTGTAACCCCGTCCGATGCTAAGGCGGCCCTGGCATGCATGCGTCCATGTGAGTCTTCATGCACGCCGTATCCAGCTGGGAGAATAGGGGGTTACCAGGCAACAAGAAGCAAGCAGAGAGCGCGTGGAAGAACAGCTCGACGTTCCAGAAGCGCGTTCTGTCGTGATCTATGCAGGCCACTTGTTTTTCTTCCCCATGGCCATGGGTCATGACATTGACATGGCTCTCATGCTGCACGCCCTGGGGATGCGTTGCGGCCCAAGTAAAGAGGTAAACAGGGGGCCATTCAGCTGATTCCCGCCTTTTCTCCATAGGTCGTGCTGTATGCTCTTCGATGCGGTGCTGTGTTGGCAGACTGACGGGGGGCCTTTTTGATGGAGATTGTGGGTTTATACTGGAGCGCTTGTTGCATGCTCTGTAACGGTGTGAAAGCGTGATGGCGGTGAAAGGGGCCTGTGATTTGCTGGCGCTGCAGGCAACTGCCGGGAGAGCTTACAACATTGATATCTGGGTCGAATTGGGAAATCTGGTTGGCCAATCCGTGCATTTCAGCTGGAGGGGCGGAAGGACGGTGAATTCCGCCTGTTTCTTTTTCGCCTTGTTGGTTGTTGTCAGTGTGTTTGATGGAGTTGAGAGTGGGTGACCGTTTTGGTGGTGGTCCGTTTTCGAGGGGAAACGGTGGAAGTGCTTACCCATGCATGCTGCGAGGTCATTCTCGATGCAACAGGTACAATGCTTCCATTGTGAAAGACGTATTCAGACATAGTACGCGACAACATCATCTTATCAATCTCGTCTCGTAGAATAACTCGGAACGCTAACATCAAGGCGCAGCAAGGAAGCCGAGCTAGAGCAAGACATCCGCAGGCAACCTTAGGCGGGCCAGCCCGAGATGGCGCCCGGCTTAGCTGGTTGATCGCCAGGAGACTCGTCTTGTTCGCTCAGCTCAGCTCTGCGTTGATCTTATAGGAACAGCTGAGATTCATTCAGCTTCATGACGCCATGGAGGTATCATTCTGCCCAATGCTTGCTGGGTAAACTATAATTCATCACGGAATCCTCTTCTAAAACACGGCGGCAGCGACTCATTCGGCCCGGCACAGATGGCAGCCTATCTGTCGGTGACCCTGACCACTACACGATGGCTTCGCTCCAACCGTCGTCTCCCCGTGAAGGGAAAGAAGTAAGGGTTGAGAGCTCTCTAGGTTACAGCTGATGAATTGATTTCAAATCCAATCTATACTCCATGAGAAGAAGAATCTTGGCAAATTCATAGCCAGCTTAATACCTCGATTGCGCCTAGTGGGGGGTATTAACACGGCTCAACACGGCTCGATATTGCATCGTGGAACTTGCCGTCGTTAACACATTCGTGTATGGACATGCTGCGGCAGAGATGCGACGGGATGGTGTCGTAGTTTGTAAATTCAAAGAACAGTCAGCTTTCAGTCATTACTACCGTACAATATGCTGGAGCATCAGACCAGGTATCGTGTAGTCGCAGGAACACTCGCGACAATCATATTTCCCGAATGGTATAATCCCTACAAAACCGGCCCGTTGGGGAGAGAATAGCCAAGAGTTCCATGCTTCGAAATGAAGCTCTCATCCAGGCATCACGAGTATATAGGGTCATGAAGGGCCAACCGAATAAAACTCCTCTTCAGGACAAAGCATCAATTCGATAGGTACCGGCCAATCTAGGACACTCGCAGCATCGACCACATCGCAGCATCTCAGAATGAAGACCTCTCTTCTTCTGGGCGCCTCCCTTGGGCTGCTGCCTAGAGCAGCCCCAACAGACACTCCTGTTGCGACTCCTTTCAAAGTCGATCTTTCGTCGAGGGTGCCGCACATGCTGGATCTGATTGGAAAGACCGTTCTCCCAGAGGCAGACCTCCCGGCTGCCCACGCGAGTTCCAATATGAGTTTGACAACGGGAATATCTGTTTCAACACTTAAGCAACTGCAGACTGAGTGGACGACGAGCTTCAACTGGACCAAGGAGCAGGAGCAGATCAACACGTACGAGAACCTCGAAGCCATCACCGAAGCAAAAGACTAACAAGCACGCAGATACCACCACTTCACGACTCAAATCGGCTCCCAGAAAGTCCACTTCATCCACGAAAAGTCCTCCGACCCCAACGCCATCCCGCTCATCCTCCTCCATGGCTGGCCAGGCTCATTCCTCGAAATGCTACACCTCGTCGACGCCCTCAAGAGCAACACGACAACCCAATCCTTCCACCTCATTGTCCCCTCGCTCCCGGGCTTTGCCTTCTCCTCCCCCGCACCCGACGGCTGGACAATCTCTGACACGGCCACCCTCTTCAACACGCTCATGACACAGGTCTTGGGCTACAAGTCGTACGCCGCGCATGGCACTGACTGGGGCTCCGGCGTGGCATTTGACATGCACGATCAGTTCAATGAGGCGGTGAAAGCAGTGCACTTGAACTTTTTGCCCTTCTTTTCGTCGACGCCGGAGGAGTTGGCGGCGCAGGGGATTACGCTGACTGGGGATGATGCGGTTCAGGAGGAGAGGGCGATGGACTTTGCGAATTCGGGAATTGGGTACTATATCGAACAAACGACGGAGGTGAGTTGTTGGTTCTGGAATACGGATTCATGCATTTGTCCCGTATAAACGCGAGAGCTGACTGTTTGTAGGTGAACACGGTTGGCCTCGCTCTCTACGACAATCCCGTCGGACAGCTCTCCTGGCTTGCTGAAAAGTTCATCATCTGTAAGTGGCCTAGATCTCATTCGACTATTCAAGCCATCGATTTTAACAGCCTGAACAGGGTCTGATCCCCGCCGAGGAAATGGTCCCTCGTTCATGACGGACAACGAGATCCTCAGACACGTCTCCCTGTACTATCTCACCCAGACGTTCGACTCAGCCGCCTTTGTCTACGCGCAGAACCCCGACGGGTTCTCGCACAACTGGCGCTCGTCTACAAGCAAGCAGCCTCTCCTGTACAGCAACTTCCGGTACAACATCTTGTTTTACCCTCAGAAGCAGATTGCGTCGATTGCAAACCTGGTGTACTACAGCAGTGAGTTGTCAATATCCCGCCACAGTGAGAATAAAGGAGATGCTGATGAGGTGATAGATGTCGACTTTGGAGTTTCCCTGCCGTGGATAACCCAGCTGCGTTGGCTGCTGACATTCGCCTGATTGGCAAGTTCTTTAAGCCTTGAGTGCGGGCGTTTGTGGATGCAGGGTTCGGGACTCTGGAAATCTCCGCCTGCGGGCATGAGAGAAGTTGGACTGGAGCAAGATAGAGGGCGTGTCTGACTCTATAGGTGCTATCTGATGGTCGTTTGATCCAAATACGAATTTGATGCTTCTCCTAGAGTGAGGAAGGCATTAATCATGCCCGGCTTTCGAGGTCGACTGTTTCTCTGCCTCGAATACCCAATACTTTATCTTTGACCGATACGAACTGGCCATTCAGCAGGGAGAGAAAGTAGATAGTTTCAATTCTTCAGAAGAGACGAATGATAAATGTTCGCCCACCAGAGAGTCTAGTAGGGTAGGTAGCATCGCTCTATGTGCTCTCAACCGCATCAAGGAATCAAGATCACAGTCTCGATCTACGTTACCACCTACCCTATCAGGACCTATCTTTCCCAAGTGCTGGAACTACTTGCTGCCATATTCTACGCTATCACACTTTGGCAGTTGTCAATTACTATCTTGAGCCCATCGTCGATTCATCGGATCCCTGCGATGGAGCCTATTCGCATGGCGACAATCGGACAACCGTTCCCACCGATGCAGTCAGTATTCTAGATGCCAGAAGAAGTGATGCAACGGCTCATTCGGAAGACCAGAGCATAACAGGTCCAGAAATCATGCTGGCGAGCGGATAACACGGCGATGCAACGCCTAGAAGGTTCTCGTACGAGTTGGTCTAGAAAGCTGCTCGTCTGTGCTGATACCCCTGCTTGATGACTCAAAGCGTCGGGTATTCCCCAGACGTTGATGATAACTCTATCAGCTTTTGCTTTGTTAACTCGGCGTAAAAGACGTTGCGAGAACAAATACAGACATGTGTTCTATGCTCTTTCTAGGCGCTGTTCGTGTCAGAGATAGTAGAAGCAGTGGCAAGTTGTGAGTGTTGACTGAACAAGAGGTTTCGTCCTGGCCTCGCGGGGGAGCAGCCATCTGGATGCCGATGTTCAAGGCAATGTGAGACGATGCCTCTTACGGCATCTCATCGACCTGCAGGCATCTGTATCTGAGTGCATCGGCAGCGGCAATCACACGCTAGAACCAGATGCCAACCACAACTCAGACATCCGACTGGTCAAAAACTTGTACGACATGTAGGTCCTCGTATATTGGGTGACATCGTCAAAAGCAGCAGTCGGCGGTCAACATGGCTGTTGTTGCAGTGTCACCGAAGAGCACCTCTGCTCCGCGATGAAGCCATGTCTGTCTCTACCCCTCAGCGACTATACTCAGAAGTCCGTTGCCATTCTGCTTTGGTCTCTCGGCTTACAGCTAGGAACAGGGATTGCGGTCAAGAAACCCCATCTTTGCATGACATGATGCGCTTTTCTGCATGCTTACCTGCTCTTGACGCAATCGAATCATGACGACTGTTGGACTCGTCCAAGCTTAAAATAACAGCAATACGGGAAGCAAAGAAGCTTAAACAAGCCAGAGAAAAGAAATCGACAAGGTCCCCGGATTCACGGAAGCAAAAGTTCGCCCGGCAAGTCCCGATTACCAGGCGTATTTGAGCGTATGTTGTGCCTGTCCATCGAGTCTGCAGAGGGCTTTGCGGAGATGGCGGGCGTGATATATGCATTGCCGTGCTGGAAACCATGCGGAAGATACGAGGCTGTAGCCAGTTGGAAATGCGCCGGCCCTCGTATCTACTAGAAGATGCGACCTCGTATTCTGCTGGTAATCGGACGGTTACGCAGCTCGTCAGATGGGCAGACGCTGTTGCCATCTGCCGGAGCTTCGGCGATGACACTCTGCATGATCGGCGCCGTGGTCATGGGTGGGAGCGGGGAGAAGGACGGAGTTTACCATACGAGACCATGCGCAAGCGTGTGATGGACCGAGTCGGACTTTTTGGGATTGTGTCGAGGTTGGGTCGTCGAGAGCAAGCATATAAACGACATCGCTCCCATGATGTTATTCGACGGTCTTTAGAAGCAAGAAGCTTCTTCGTCTCTCCATATGCTGCAAAGAACACCTAGCTCTTGACTCTCTGCAACTCGGAGCGAAGGGCAACATGAAGTTCAGTCCGACCCTGGGCCTGCTGGCCCTCGTGGGCGGAGTATCTTCCCTCAACGTCACGACGAGCGTGGACCAGCTGCGGTCGAAACAGAACACGACCGTGGTCCCCAACACGTTCATCGTCGAGCTGCAGCCGGACTTCCACCCGGGGCTTCAGCCCAAGGACCGGTTCGCAAAGACCAAGCCGGGAGCCAAGCCCAACTACCGTGTGCGCCATCAGTATAACGCTACCGACATCTTCAACGGCGTGTCGGTTTCGTTCGATTCGCCCGTCAACCTCACGACGCTGAGGAATACTGCCGGCGTCAAGAACGCCTGGAGCGTCGCCCTTGTGCCGCGGCCGGAGCTGCGGGGCCTACGGGGATCCCCGGGCTCCAACAAGAATGAGACGAAGCTGCCGGATTGGCGAGGCAGCGCAGATGTCAACCGCCCGCTGGAAATGGGCAACGTGAAGAAGCTTCACGACAAGGGCATCAAGGGCAAGGGTGTGCAGGTGGCCCTCATCGACACCGGCGTCGACTACACCCATCCCGCGCTGGGAGGCGGCTTTGGGCCAGGCCACAAGGTTGCCTTGGGCTACGACTTCGTGGGGGATGCGTACGACGGCTCGAACGATCCCGTCCCGGATGACGATCCCCTGGCAACATGTGCAGGCGGTGGACACGGCAGTCACACGTCAGGTATGTATTTGTACTCGTACGAAGCAGATGTGAGAAGAAGACGAGTTCCTAACCGCTTAAACAGGCATCGTGGCCATGCAAGATCCCAAGGATGAGGGCTTCGGCCTCGTCGGCGTAGCTCCTGAAGCCACACTTGCCGCCTACCGCGTCTTTGGCTGTGAGGGAAGCGTCACCAACGACATTCTGATTGCGGCCATGATCCGGGCGGCGCAGGATGGCGCCGACATTGTGTCCATGTCCCTTGGACTCTTTGACGAGTGGGAGGAGACCAACCCCTTTGAGGATCTTGTGGCCAATCTGGCCAGCCAGGGCGTGGCAGTTGTCGCCTCCATAGGCAACTTTGGAACTGCTGGGCCGTACTCGACGTCAACGCCCGCCATCTCGCTCAGTGCCATGTCGGTGGGCTCTATTGAGAACGAACTCTACCCAACCGCCTACACGGCTCACGACGACCAACACCAGGCCATCTCCTACATCGACATATTCCCCGCCAACGACCTGGGCCGCGTTGAGGTAATCCAGCTGGGATACGGCCTGAACACCACCATCACTCCCAACATCACGAGCGGATGCTACGAGGAACCCTGGGACGCCCTTTCCAGCGCGCAAATAGACTGGAACACGACCATTCTGCAGGTCTCGTTGGAGACATGGTGCGGCACCAACTGGAGTCCCTCCATCGACCTGGGCGTCAAGGCGCTCCTGGTCACCATGTCCGAGCCCCAAGAACTCATCGTCGACGAGCCAGGGAGCAGCCCCAAGGCCTTGTACTTGGACCCTGAGAACTCGAAGCTGTTCCTGAGCCGCTTCGCGAAGCAGCCCGCCGACAAGAAGTACGCACTGACGTTTGACGGCACCAGGGCCGTCGATGTCGCGAACTTCTTTGGCGGCGCCCCTGACGACTACTCCAGCTTCGGCCCGACGATTGAGATGACGCTGGAGCCCAAGATCTCGGCGCCGGGCGGAACCATCCTGTCGACGTATCCCGTGGACGCGGGCGCCTATGCGGTGCTGTCGGGAACCTCCATGTCTGCCCCGTTCATCTCTGGCAGCCTGGCGCTGGTCAAGTCGCAGAACCCGCACCTGACCGTGCCGCAGCTCTTTGCGCGGCTCATGACGACGGCCAAGCAGGTCAACGAGCTCAACTCCACGCTGGTCGCGTCTACGATTCGTCAGGGCGCGGGCATAGTTGACGCCTACGCGGCCGTCACGGCGGACACGGTCATCAGCCCGGCCGAGCTCAACCTGCGCGACTCGGCCGCGCCGCCGCCGCAGAAGATCACCATCTCGAACCAGTCGCGCTCCCCCAAGCGCTACTCGCTCCAGCACGTCCCGGGGAGCTTCTACCGCCTCTCCAACAACTACCTGTCCGGTATTGAGGACAACTACTCCTCGGCGAACCTCCCCCTGACATTGGATATACCCGCTTCCGCCTCGTTCTCGCAGTCGTCGGTGACTGTTGGGCCGGGCCAGTCTGCCACGTTCGAGGTTACGATCAAGCCGCAGCCGGATCAGTACCCGTTTGCGGACCCCGTGTACGGTGGCTTCATCAAGATCACGGCCGACGGCGACGAGTACTCGGTGCCGTACGTTGGCGTGCCATACAACCGCACCGAGGTCGGCCCCATCGTCCACAACGTGACGACCGTGAAGCCGTACGACTCCCCCGGGCTTCTCAAGTCACAGGCCACCAATCTGTTCCTGGCCGATACCTTGACGCCGACGCCCAACCTCGAGACGTACAACTGGTCGACGAACCTGAACGAGTCGTGGATCCCCATCTTCCGCATCGACTCGATCATGACCCGCTTCCTGCGGCTCGACCTGGTGCCCGCCAACGTGTCCTTCGTGCCGTCCATGTACGGCTTCGACCCGGACGTCAAGATCGACTACAAGTTCCCCAACCAGACCGTCCTGCCGGACTACCTCGGTGCGCCCACGTACGGCTTCGTCTTGGCCATGTCCCTCGATACCCCGCCCGAGGGAAGCCCCATCGTCCAGTCAGCCGACATCGGTCACTTCTTCGCCCAGGCCTTCTTGGATCCCTCCCTGACAAACGACGCAGGGGAGACGTATAGGATCGCGGCGGGTGACTACCGGGTGCTGTTCCGCGCACTGAGGTGGCAGGGCAACGAGACGAATCCCGACGACTACGAGTCTTGGCTGGGACCGGTTATGCGGTTCGACATTCCGAGCGATCTCCCGCCCGACTTTCCCAATAGCTCTGAGTAGATGGTGTCTTTTCGCGTTATCTTGATGAGTTGAGTGGCGAGGCGGAACTCGGTGGATTAGGTCGGAGGTTTGCGGCTATGGCGGGAAGACATCCGTGGAATGGCTTCATATTTCAGCTCACTAAGTTGATTGGCTTCGGCGATAAGAAGTATGCCTGTCAGAGGCATAAAAGACATACGTAGTGCAGAATACGAAAATCTTACCGAGTCCGAACCTCAATATTGGTTTGTTGCATCTCCGAAGAGGCAGTCGGCGTTTGTGAAGATTGATATGGAGTGATGATGGTTTGTACTTGATGAGGTGTCTGGAACTACGCCGTCTTTGGCTGCAGATGAAGATAATGAATCAATCCACAATATGAACTGTATCAGCTGTAAAGAGACTTTCCGTCTACCAAATCCATTAATGGATTGTTCGGATATCTCTTCATCTGCATACTAGTTACCGCGTCTCTTCTGGGCCACATGTATAAGAACTGCCACCAAAACTGCTACCTCTTCAACTTTGTCGGACTTTGGCCGATTCCTGTTACGCAGGATTCATATTCAACTTACAACCAACATGGAAGAGAAAGAGTTGCCTTGTGTTTACTAATCGCCAACCTTGCTGTGGTCAGAAAAGCAAGGGGGGCCAAAAGGCCAGCCTTACTGTTAACATGGCCTTAGTGAGATTGAGTAACAGCATCTTCTGTCTTATGTCTATAGTCAAGCCATGACCAGTAGGTATTTCACCCACATGAGTGACTCGTTCGTGTCTGTGTCCAATTACCACATTAGTCGCTGAGAAGAAGCATCAAGCTGGACCCGGCGAGGTTGGAGTTGAATTGAGTTGAACGAGGATCGTCTCTTGTTCAAAACTACATAAGACAGGTGAAGATGCATGCCAGCACAGCCCTACGCCCCCTGAGCAACAAAAGACCCTCTCACACTTACAAGGATCTCATCTCAGAACTTTACTTGACGGTTTAATACTCCCCACCGGTTGCGGCCGCCGCTAAAATCTGACACGCTGAGGGAATCGTTTTAGAAGCGCCTTGGCAAGGACTGATGACCGAGCCCTATGGAGCGAAGATCATAGGGGTCTTGAGGAGAGCTATTAGCTCAGCTTGGTCCCTATGGCAGTGGTATGGTGGATTGTTGCTGTGAATTGCGTCGTTGTTCTTCGCCAGTAGTATGGGACTTCAGCCAAACAGGAAAGTAACTTGCTGTCAAGACAAAGTCTTAGTCTCCATGAAGAAACAATATCGTGACGTTGATGTAGCTAGTTGTGATTTGCTTTAGTTCGCCTAAGGGGGGAAAAGATGTAAATCCAGCCGTGTATATATATATATATATGTTGATCGTCTCTCTTCGGGAAGAATTTTGCTTCGATTAATTTCACCGAGCTGTCCCACCCATTCTCAGTAGGCCTGAAAGCCACCTAGATGAGCCAGCGATAGCATCTCGATACTACAATCCTTCGCAACTACATACTATGCTAACCCCCACCCAGCCCACCCCCTGCTCTTTCTATACTCAACCGGCCGATACGAGGCCTCTTACTCATTGTTATGCTTCGTCTGTTATGTTGCTCAGCAGCTCGTGAGCCGTCAACGTGGTGCCAAAGCTTCGGGCATAGGGAATCTGTCTGATAGTCCCGTATCTGCGAGGTTTAGGAACAGCCCCTGGCGGCCCCGGCGTTCCGCAACCCGGCCTACGCAGGGCTGGCCGACGCCTTGGACGCGCTGCCGCCCATCTGCGCCTCGTCCTTGAATCTGGGTCCGGACCACGCGTCAGTTCTTTCCCGTAACTGACGGATCGTCGACGGCGCGGCACTTTTGCAGGGCCGCGAGTCCACCACGTTGTCCGGGGCTGTGGCGAGAAAGGTGCTGCTGCAGATGAGCCAGGTCTTTGCCGATGCCGTTGTCGAGGCTGCGGCTCTCGGGAGGCAGCCTTCATCAGTGACGAGGGAGTGGATGAATGAGATGTAGTAGTGGAAGTGTAGGCGAGGAGAGAGTTCGGCCATGTGTTGCTGTTAGGTACCACAGCTCTTACTTCATATGTCCCTGCCCACAACCGCTTATTATCTTATAAAGCAGCAGCAGAAGCAAATCCTTCAACGCCAGAAGCGGAAATGATTACATTCTTGTCAAAGGGGGAGTCAGATTGTACATGCCGAAAGTAGCTATACGTCTATGCAAACGATGTATCTACTACCTTATATAAACCGGCTCTCGGTCCCCTCTTTTCCGCCTCCCCTTCCACCTACTACCAAGTTACCATCACTCCTTCGTCTCAATCATCATCTCGTCAGCAGGCGAGTTCCTCTTGGGGGACAAGCGTGGTAGTTTGAAACCTGGAGTCCAGAAACACCGACACAAGTTCCCGCACTATCTAATAACAAATAGGCGATTCGCGCGCGGCTGATGTCCTCATTGTGGTAAGGCGAAACCGTTCAGTGGCTCTCATTATCCCTTGTCTTGTTTCTCTGGATATCAAATAATTCAAATACGAAGTTGCCTCGACACCTCCAACGGCCCAGTCCGAAGCTAAAATGATTTTCGCCGAAGGAACAGAACGAACATAAGCCTAGCCTGTTCCCGTGTGTGCATTTGTCATATCAGAGGGCCGCTGCCATTGGCCTCCGTAGCCTAGACCTCGTTATCGTTTTGTCATTTTCCGTCCGGTTTTCGTCCGGGGACGTGTTTGTTACTGTATTCTCGTGCTAACTCACGGAGTGTTTTACGAAAGAGAGAAATAGAGTCCATGCGGATCAAGTTCGAGTCCAGCGCCCCCGAGCTTGTGCCTGGTGGCGAAACGTGCGGCGCGCCACAAGCCTTATTACCGCGGCAATCGTTCATTTTGACATTCTTAGTAACGGATTATAGACGACGATGGACGAGTGAAGAGATGGGACAACAATGCGATTCTTAATGTATAGAAGGGAGCCCAGTTCGCAAGTTCAGTCTGTCGCGGAGGGAGTTGGGGGGCAGAGACTTCTATAATCATGGCGACCGTCAAGCCTGTTCTGCGGCGAAGCCATACGAAATCAAAGCTGGGCTGCCAGGCGTGTAAGCAACGGCATGTCAAGTGCGACGAGTTTCGGCCATCATGGTATGTCTCCTATTGCTCTCATATGGCTTTACTATAATCTTGAATTAGAAGGAGAGAATACTGATAGTTGATTCCATTTAGTCACAGATGCCTCTCTTCAGGGATTGCTTGCAAATATCCTGCCCAGGCCGAGTTAAAGGACGAAGACGAAGACTCTGCTCTGTGGTGGCCGTTGGACATTGAGAAATCGTGTGCCCAATGGAAAGAGTCGGGGAAGCCGCCGTTTGTATCGTTGTCGCCGTCTCCGAGCTGGCATACCATGGCGATGAAGGACTTGCGGTACATTTACAAGATGGCTCTGGTGGCCAACATTCTCGACCTGAGCAAGACAGCCGACATTTGTCTGTTATGGGGTGATATGAGAGTGTGAGTGATTCAGACTCTCTGTGGTTAAGCCATTACATTTGTCCATCCCTTTTATTGCCAGGTCGAGATGCTGACGCTGTTTCTGTTGGTCAGGCTCTTCCAGCTCGCAACGCAATACGACTTTGTCGCTCACACCTTGGCCGCAACATCGGCACAGAGACTTGCATTGACTACAAAGTCACACGAAGCTGCCGAGGATGCCTATCACTACCGAAAACAAGCTCTCCACGGGCTGTACCGCGCAATGGGCTGCTTCTCCGAGTGCAATGCCGACGCAATCCTAGCCGCAGCCCTGGGGTGCTCGTATATCATGTCCGACTAGTACGTTGAAACTATTATCCTTTGCGAGATCGAAAGGCACGGCATAAAGGCAGGGTTCAGCTAACCACAGTGTCCAACAGCCGCTCCCTCATGGCGCTGGCAGGGAATATCTCAACAGTAAGCCTCGATGATATCATTGTGTCTTTCATACCGCTCACAGTAGAACAGGTGGCCAGCCGGATGAAGCCCTGGCTGAAACGGTCGGCCTTTCACCGAATCTTCACATACGAGCCCCCGTACCCGGAAAAAGAAGAGCAGGCCGCCTCGTCACCCCCCGAGATCGAAGACGTGGAACACCGCTTTGCCCTGGTCAAGAAGCTCCTGGCCGAGGGCATCGGCTCCGTCAACGGCCTCGCCTTCTGCTTCCAGGGCGACCGCGACCTCTCCGCCATGCTCCGCCAGCTCCGCGACGTCATGCGCCTCGTCCACGAACGCCTCGGCACCGACATCCCGATCGAAGACCAATACCGTCTGATCTACCCCTTTACGGCGTGGTTCGTCAAGAGCTCGGCCGCCTCGTACGTCTCCCTCAGCGCAAAGTGCCCGTTCCTGCTCGTCTTCCTGCTGCACATGTACGCGGTCGTCGTCGCCCTCGCGGCGGCCCTGCCCCAGATCGACGTGCCGCTGTTTGCAAAGTTTCGGCTGCGCGCCATTCTCGAGATTTGCAGCATCTTGAAGAAGGAGCCGGGCTTCTTGTGCCAGCGGTGCGGTGGGTTTCACGCGTACGAAGAGGTCATGGCGTTTCCCCTGAGTAGTGTGTCTGTGTATCAGCAGATTGGAAGGGAGACGGGCCTTTGAGAAGCATAGTCAGCGAGCGTTTTCTTTACGTAGAGGGTTTCTGGGTTCCTCATTTTCCATTTTGATTCTTCTCTCGTCTTTTCTAATCGGGTATAGCAATCCTAGTGCACGCAGGACACAGCGATATGCACCGATGCTGTTGTTGTTTGGCATGCTTTAGACCCCAGAGAGCAGAAAGCATCCCAACGTTCTGTGTTGCGAACTTGCGAGCGTTGCATATCATAGAGCTTAATCAACGACTGACCAGCCAGTCAAGATTTTTTTTTCTGTTACTCAAGAGTCTTTGGCGAAGCCAGAAAGCAGATCGACATAGTACTATCATCAGTCGATGGGCTTCGTTCAGCCCCCACAGGAGTAAATAAGCAAACCAGAGGAACAACCCCTGTTCATCTCACAAGCGGCATCGTGTTGCCCCGTCTTATGGAAAGCTAGAGCCTCAACAACCGACTTAATGAAGATCTGGCAGATCCCCCAACTCAGCTGAAGATCCCTAAATAGAAACATGTTTAATTAAGCTCAACACATCGGCTCCATCGTGAAGCCAAACATGTGCGACCTTCTGTTTTCTTCGTAGGCCGCGACGATGGATCTCATCGCGGAGCATACTGAATCGGCAGATAGTCGCCTTCAGAGGCAGTAATCAATCGGTCAAATCCCATCGCACAGACTCTCAGTTCACAGTTTATGCGAGTTTGTCTGGTCATTTTGCAAGTAAGCATTGTTTCAATGTCTATTTTCAGACCCGATCTAATGTAGGTCCAGTGGTCGACTTCTTCAGCCGCTTCCACAGTGGAAGCTCTTCGCCTTGTGGTGATGGAGCCCCTTGTGTACTCAAAGATGCTACCATCGCGAGATGGAAAGGCTACCCTGAGTTGTCAATGCCTTCAAACGAGTATATAAGGAGCACGATGGAAGCCATTGATACGGATTCCAGCACTCAGCATCGAGACACAAACACCATCTTCAACATCACCAGCTTCACCTCTCATCCCACAATAACCACACCCCAACTCCCAAAATGAAGACAGCCTTCGCCGCCCTCATCATCTCCCTGACGTCCTTCGTCAGCGCCTACCCCATCACCGGCGACGTCGTCAACTGCCGCACCGGCCCAGGCACAAGCTACGCCATCAAGACCTCGTACAAGAAGAGCCACGACATCTCCATCAGCTGCCAGACGACGGGCACCAGCGTCAACGGCAACAACATCTGGGACAAGACGGCCGACGGCTGCTACGTCGCCGACTACTACGTCAAGACGGGCTCCAGCGGCTACGTCACCAAAAAGTGCAGTGCCTCGTCTGGCGGCGGCTCGTCGTCGAGCTACTGTAAAACCGTCAACGGCGCGGGTGTCGATCTGATAGCCAAGTGGGAGGGCTTCGTCGCGAGTCCCAAGCCCGATCCCATCGGCCTGCCCACGGTCGGCTACGGCCATCTGTGTCAGCAGAAGAACTGCGCCGAGGTCAAGTACAAGTTCCCCCTGACCAAGACGACGGCCAAGGAGCTGCTGCTGGACGACCTGCCCAAGTACACAAAGTGCCTGGCCGAGTCCCTCAACGGCAAGGCGAAGCTCAACGACAACCAGTGGGCAGCCCTGTCCTCCTGGGTCTTCAACGTGGGATGCGGCAACGCCAAGACGTCGACTCTCGTCAAGCGTCTCAACAACGGCGAAGCGCCCAACACCGTGGCGGCGGAGGAGCTCCCCAAGTGGCGCATGGCAGGAGGACAGGTGATGCCGGGTCTCGAGGCGCGCCGCAAGGACGAGGTCAAGCTGTTCAAGACGGCGTCTTCCAAGGAGGCGTACCCAAAGTGCCAGGCATAAGGGGCAGCATAGAGGGGGATAGCAGTCTACTTGGGGGAATAGTAAGCTGATGGGCTGGTTACCTCAGCCCTACCAGCTGAATAATTGCCAGGTGGCGACGACGTCAAAGCTGGGGCACTAGTTGTTGCCAAAGGGGCTGAGGCTGGAATGTAGTTGGGAGTAGATGGAAGTCACTTGTTGTTTCAACCTGTCTTTGACATTTGTCTGTAGGACTCTTCTGGGGCTTGGATATATAGACCTTGACAAATTGCAGATTTATCTTTCTTGATACGCTTTTTGAACCATTGTATGCAGTCATGAATATTGAATGCAAGATGTAAGCAGCAGCAGCAGCATAGCCTCAACCAAGCATGGAAGCAGACGCATCTCCAGCAGCAGCAACAACACGCACATACGTGTCCCAGCAACCAGGTGAAGCCCTTGCCAAGAACAATACGCCCTGCGCACATGTATCCCTACCGACGAGAAGGGCGTCAACTCAGGCATCACGTTACCACAACTTGTCGATGCCATTCGTCCACGGCAGCAGCGCCGCCCTTTACCAAGGTCAAGGCGGAAGGGTCGGCGGTGGCTTGCGTTAGGACGAGCACTCAGCCCTCAAACCTGGGCGCCGACCTGAACCTGGCCTGAGGGTTTTAGCTACCCTACCAACCTGCCAGCTGGGTCATTCGGGGTCCATGTTGACGTGGAAATCAGGGTTCGGGAAGGGCTGGAATTGGAAATGGGGATTGATCATGATGGAAAGCGGCTCGATCGGGACCGGGCTCCGGATCCCAGGAAATCGGCATGGCCGCTGCTTTTCCTTCGGGCTTTTGCAGGGTTCCGGTGTGAGGGGCTGTTTGCTGGGAAGAAGGAGACGTGCTTTTTCCTTGAATTCTCCCTCGTCGAGTCAGAAGGCAGAACCATATGAAGAGTCAGAGCGGAGAAGAGTGATGCCCGACGACTCCGTTATTGAATTTCAGCATTGCCTCCTTGATACGTGTCACAGCTGCTCCCACTTCGTCAATTCAGCCATGTGGATTCGTGGACAGGCTCAGCAGCAGCCACATATTGTCCAGCCATCGTCAGCTACTGGACTAGTAATACTATGTAATACAGTATAGTAGTACTAGATGAAAAAAAAACACCAAAGAACCGCAAAGAGCTCCAGCTTGCTACTATCCACAACTCCCGCTAGTTCCCTCGAAGCTCGAAACCCACTCAAGGCCCCTCCCGCCTGCATCCGGGCTCTCACATGATTCTCCCTTGTCCAGGGCAACAAGAGCTCCAACCGTCCGTCACCTCGCTTGAAAGCTTACTCTGCGCCCAGCTTCAGCTTTTCCTTGTTGCCTGGAATTACATACTGTATGTACCCTTTGAAGGAGGTTGCCCTAGCTTAAGCCATGCCCTGTAGTAATACTAAGCATTTTTCTCCCGAGGGAGGCGTTGATGAGCCCTGCTTCTGTGTGTGATGAAGAGGAACTTCCCGATCGAGGAAATCTTGGTGGTGCAGATCCAAGGCAAAGATCCAAACGGCAAAAGATCAACAGTGACTGTGACCTGTCTGATTTCTGAACGTCTCCCCCGCTCCGGCTATTCATGCTTGTTATCACGGTTTTCTTGGTTCGGTTACTATCCGTCCTGCGAACCTCCCCTCCGCTGTCTCAGATTTGTCGATTGAGTGTGGACGTGACCGCGAAGACGTGGGCACACTGTCTCATATCGGCTGTTTGCGACCTCGGCGCATGTGAGTTTGCCGACTCAAGGCGCCATGATTGAGAGATACACGAGCAATATGCGAATCAGGAGTTTGGATGTATGAGTTGAGCATGTGCCAATGACTGCGTTATGAGACAAATACATATTTCTACTCTCGAAAACCCTCGTAGGCATCCGTATCTTCACGTAGTCAGTCTGTCACTGGTCACGATGCCTCATTGGCGACAGACAAGACGAGGGTTGTTTCATTATCTCCTCCCTCCAACCCACGACGCCCTCACCGCACTTACACTAGAACCCGTGCCGCTGTGCCCGCGTTCCGGTTGATGCGGGAAGGCAAATGGCAGGCAAGTATTCCCGCTCGTGGGGGGGTGGCATGACGGACTGAAATGCCCTGCCCCCGGTGAGACAGGGCAAGTTTTCTTTCCTGTTGATAATGGCTCTGCCGGATCACGCCCGCTCACGAATCGTGCGTGGAGGAAGAGCGTTGAAGAAAATGTCCAGTGTAGGAGGTTGAGAACCCTAGTCAAGTCTTTGCGGGCTTCCAAAGAGCGACAGACCCCGGTCGAATCGATGTGTGTCACGCCGTACATATCATCGAGGCCCATCCATACGCGCTCTCGCCTCATCCCCCCGACAATGTCGACAGACGGTGAATGATCATCTTTGTAACAGTTTCTGGATGCTCTGGACCCTCTAGGAGACACCGGTGATGGTGTGGTGGCTCCATCGTGAAAAGCGACAGCTCCCTCTTTTGTCTTCTTTTTCTGCTTCCTCTCGACTCCCCCGGTAATAAACATCCAGGGATCCGGCCAAATGCCGCTATGGTCACAACGGCTCCGGCACTTGGAGCGTCACATTCTGCATGCAGCTTTTCCTTCTTCTTCTCAGTGAGTCGAACAGAGTACCCTTGTCTAGTGGACTGGAGCCCTTGTTCATCAGGGTTGGGCACTGGTTCGATGAATGACTGTCGATGGCTCCTCATCACGCATCTTTGCCTGTGCCATTTAATCTAAATCCCTGACAGCGGAGCCAATGGCGACGATGCAAACAGCTCGAACTCGATCTCTCTACCGGATCTTTGATCCATGAAAAAAATCTTTTCTTCTTCTACCTTCTATCCTCCTCTTGTTCCCGACTTACCCTTCTGGGCGAGCCATGTAATGCAAACCCCCCTCCTCTCCCCTACAAAATGAGCACGGAGAGTGGCAGGGAGATGTCAAAACCACCAGCGATGCGTCCCAAAACTGTGTGCGTGTGCCTTGATGGCTTGCGATGCTAGTCAAGGGGCACAGGAACGTGAACGACGCAAAGAGTCAAGTGCGTGCATGGAATGGAGGCGACAAGCCATGCAAAGTTTTCCGCCTTTGTTGAAGGAATACGAAGCATTCATTCCCTCTTATTTAGAATTTGTAAACTCTTTCGTAACAAGCATAACAACAAAGAAAGCCACGGGGTGAAAGAAAGTGTCATCACACATCATCACACACCCACACGATATACCTTACTCTACACAGGCAGAGAGAAGAAAAAAGGTACTTCTCTATACTCGGCGGCTACAAAGGGGCGCCTCGGTTTAGTTCCAGGTGAGAAGGGTAGCATGACTGGCAGCCACGTATTCAAGCTTCAAGCCCCAGCTCCCGGCAATCGACTCAGGGAAGACCCACCATCCCTTTCTTGTCTGCTTGATGAGACAGGTCGAGACACGCCATGTCTGGATCGACCGTCAGGCAATATGGGAAAGTCGGGCGTCTTGCCGAGCCCATTTGTCGTGCATCTGCCGGAGAAGCCAGGCCTTTTTGGCGCCGTGGTTTCCTTTCTTCTTGTGATGGGGGAGCATGAGTATAAGTCGATCTGGTCCCCCCGTCACATCCCTCCTCTTTCTCTCTTTGATTCTCTTTACACTGCTACTCTGCGTGATCTAATCAGCTGTTTGACTGAGGTTTTGGTTATCTTTTGAATAAGCAAGTTCTTCCACCTTGCTTGACTCTTATCTATCTTACTCTGCCATTACTGCACCCTCCCTGTTCGTCGTGTGACAGGATTCTCCACGAGCTCGTGAAGCAGCATCGACACACTCATATATACGAGAGACCGCTCGAGAATACAAAGAGCCGCTCGAGATCTGCTATTCCAGCATACAATGCGCCGGAGCTCGTCCTCATCATCCATCAGCTCCCAGTGGTCCACCGCAAGCGAAGACACCGAGCTCAGCCATCTCCCCTCCATCATCCCCGTCGCCTCAAGCACAACCGCCGCCACGACAATCACCTCAACGACAACAACTACAACCACCACAACCACCGCGGCCAGCAACTCCTCAATTATCTCGTCCTCTGCCTCGGTTGCAGCAGCAGCAGCATCAACCCACAACATGTCGCGACGCACTTCCACCATTCCCGACTACGAGCGCAGCCGCCAGGGAAGCACATGTTCTGTGCGCAGCTGCGGCGGCATGAGCCCCGATGCGACGCGGGAGCTGTGGAAGACGATGCTGGAGCTCCAGGAGCGGTACGGATGCTATACCTCGGCCAGGATGGACTTGGCTGTCGGGGCGGGCGACATGGCCCTGTCTCTTATGCGTAAGCTGGAACTGCCGGGACTTGACAAGATAACTAAGTGCTGACATGAACAATTCACAGCGAACCCGTTTATTCTGGATACTCTAAACGATTCTGTCGTCGACTTGCCCGATGAGGGGTGGGAGATGCTCAATCGCTGCCTTCAACAGCCCAGGCTTTGATCCTTGCTGAACCCCCCACACAACTACCCTCTCTCACCACCACTACGACTGTGATGGTTTTTTCTCGAATGTAACGCGGTAGATGAGGACGGAAAGATGGGTATACTTCTTCTCACAACTGGCAGGAGTTTAAGGGACGGAAACAAAACATCGGGCAAAGCGCTTGGGTTCTCTTCAGTTCATCTCACTTTATCACATTGTCTTTCTTTTTCTGTTTTTTCATGATCTCTCACGATACCCTGTCCTCATTTACATGGAATTTTGACGCGATAAAGATTGAGGCCCATTGCCAACATGTGCTGGTACATAAGACCACCACAAATACAAATGCAACACAACATCATACCAAGTGAATCAGGCGATCATGTTTCGATGCCATGTCGCAGCGCATGCAAAAATGTCACATTAGCACAAGAAAAAAAAGTCATGCCGTCGGCTCATCGCGTGCCCGTCCCAAATTCACAGCGTTTCATCCAGCAGCGCATGCGTTACATGGCCCATGGCCCTCGTCTGAATCTTCATGCTCTCCAGCACCCTCTCCTTGACCTTATCGTCCTCGATATCCATCCCTACAAATATGGCGTGCGTCGATGTAAAGTCGTAGGCCTTGAGGATCCCCCACATTCGGTGTATCTCATCTGCGCTCAGAGGGATGCTGTTTGGAATGCTCCACAGGAAAGCAAAAGAGTTCAAGCCAGGCGGCTTCTCCCTCTTCTCTCCCAGGGCATCGACCTCCCACTTGCCGATGCCCGCGGCAGTTGTCATCAGGGTATCTGCGATGAAGAGTTTCCCATCAAATAGCAGGACCATGGATCCGGGGAAGTGTCCTCCCAGTTTAATGGCCTTGACGCCGGGCACAATTTCCGCCTCGACCTCGGTGAGCGGCTTTCGGTAGACAGACGGCGTCGTCGTCCAGCGCACGTCTTCGGCAGAGGTATATACGGGGCATTGAAACGCCCTCGCCCACTGGACGTGCGTGCTGTAGAAGTGCGGATGGCTTATAACAATTGCCTTGAGGCCCCCGAGCTGCTTGATCCTGTCAATCGTCTCGTCGTCGAGGAGCGTGATGCAGTCCCAGAGGATGTTGCCCTCGGGAGTCCGGATCAGTATGGCCCGCTGCCCAATGGCGAACTTCGGCTCCGTGTGGATGGAAAGGATACGCTCGTCATGCTGATACGGCACAAACTCGTTTCTGTGTCCCGTGGCACGGATATCGGCCAACGTAGTGAAGGATTGCCCTGACGGCGGCACGTACTGACGAGGGTCGTCGCAGATGTAACACGTCTTGAGGGCGGAACGATCGGCAGTTGGGAACTGAGTGCCGCAAGTGTTGCAGATCAGCCAGGAGGAAGAGACGGTGTCGTCGTAGGGCTCGAGAGTCAGGTCCATGATGCCGAGGTACTGGTGGCGATGCTTGAGGGTGGAAGATACGGGATTGTCATGGTGTTGTAAGGTGGATGTTCTGTATAGGGCGCGCGGGGTTGAGGAGGCTTGGAGTCGAGGAATAGCCGATGGCCTCGGATATACGAGGATTTTGTGTAATGGTGAGGCTTGATTTCGGCGTAGTTGTACAGAAATGAGGAGTTGTACTGTCTGTTAATGAGGCCAAGCCGGGACGATTGATGCTGCCGTATTACTCTAAAGGCAAGCTATTACGTCCCCGTATCTTGCCATCTGCCTGAGAGAAGTATCCAACTTTCATGAGTCGTTAATGAAGGACCATCAGTCAACAGCTAGTATCATTCACGGTTGATTATCGCCTTTCACAAGGCAAAGTATCGTCGCAAGTGCGATGACATCATGAGCAAAGCCAGACGTCATGGCCAACGCAGGCCCTGGAGAGACACCAGAAGAGCGCAGATCTAGATGATCGTCAGCATCTAAATCAGCATCTAGCTATATATAGAAAGCCGAGATGACCCGAAAGGGCAATTTTCACTCTATTCGCGGTAACGGCGTGTCAATGCGCTGATGGTGGTGCACACTGCTCGTCCGAGGACTAAGACGAACGACACCACATCCGTCCAGGATAGATAAGATGGTGATGATTACACACTTTAGTAAGCGTAGGAAGTAGATATTAAACAGATAGGCCTGGCTCTTCATACTTGTAGATTGATAGGATGGCCGTCTTGAATGGGCAGATGAGTGTAGATGCCCGTATCACCCTCGCCTTCTAACGGACGAGTTGACGGACTTGATCGCATCACTGTCGGTAACGGGATCCTGTCACCCTGTCTATCTACCTCCGTTGCTTACTCAACTGTCACCCAACTTTGTAAAGCCTATGCTCCGTGCCTCTATCCAACGTGTGACAGAGCAAGTACATGTAGATGCCCTCATGCAAGATGCGCAGACCTTGAATGGATGATATGCAGCCCTGCCTACTGTACGGTCCTTCAATGAACCAATCGGCATATACCGTAGTTGACATGACACATGACACGGCTAGAAGTATTCCGATCAGACATGAAAAATCCAGACTGTTCGTCCGCGGACGAATCTCTGTGCCTTCCGACTGTGCAGCTACTATTGTGAAGATGTGTCACAACTCTACGGACCATTCGTCCGTGAGCCGTGATGGCAATGTTGACAATTCGGAGCAACAACGTGAATAGCTGAAAGTATCCCCCTATTGTATATTCTGTAGAACAACATGTTCAAAAATGCAATGTATGCCAACAAGATATAATGTCCTCCTTCCCCATTTCTCATCACCCATCACAGCTCTCAATTCGACATCACTCAAGTCATCTATAACTCCTCAGTCAGAACAGAATTCGGGTTTCCAGTAAACAATGCCTCAAGCAGTCTGGTTCATCACAGGCACAACATCAGGCATCGGCGCCGCCCTCATCAACCACATACTCTCCCGCGGCGACAAAGTCATCGCCTCGGGTAGAAACGTGGACAAGAAACTCAGCCATTTCAAGTCTCAGCCAAACGCGCATCTACTCGAACTAGACGTGGCAGCAGGGAAATCCGACATCGAAGCTCAAGTGAAGAAAGCATGGGAAGCTTTTGGGCATGTTGACGTCTTGATCAATAATGCGGGCATGTCTGCTCTGCGAACTGCCGAAGACGCTGAGTATGTCTCCTCCTTAGCTCTCTAAAACCTCATTATCATGTCTAACATAATCTGGCCGTGTCAAAATAGCGACACCTTTGTCAACACCATCTTCCAAGTCAACCTCTTCGGCCAACTCCACATGTCACAAGCCATCCTCCCCTACTTCCGCGCCCAAGGCCACGGCACAATCGCCTTCACCTCCTCCGGCTGTGCCTGGGGAGCTCTCCCCTACCTCTCGCACTACTGCATGACAAAGGCAGCGCTAAGCTCCTTTGCCAAGAGCCTGCACAAGGAAGTTTCGCACATGGGCATCAAGTGCGTTGCGTTCGACCTCGGTGGCTTTCCGACTCGTTTGGCGCAGCCTCGCGAGGTAGGAGATGACGCCGGTGGTGATGCTGCGGTGAAACCAGACGAGGTCTCGTTCCCCGAATCGCCCGTCTCTGAGCCGTATGCCGAGTCTTTCGGGGAGTATCTCAGCCTCTTCATGCCGGACCCAAGCTGGACTATTCCCGGTGACCCCGACAAGGCGGCGTCTGCAATGGTGGACGTTATTCAGCGCCGGGGAGTCGCAGCGGATCGTTCCTGGGCAGTCCGTGTGGTCTTGGGATCGGATTGCTTGACCTATGCAAAGAAAAGGCGACAGGAGGAGCTCAAGCTTCTGGAGAAGTGGCAGGATGTGAGCTCCAGCACGGATGCGAGGGAGTTTGTGTTGAAGCCAGAGTATGAGAAGTACATTGTCGTTGCAGGATTGGAAGAATGAACGCCTCCTGGGATATATATCGAGAATAGAATATTCCTCTACATATACTCAATCTAACGCTACATCACACAGCTCCCAGCAACTCCATCACTCACTCCCCTTCACAGCCGCCTCAATCTCCTCCGCAAACCCCTTCTCCCACGCCTCCTCCCCAACCTCCGGAACCCACCCCAGCACCTCCCTCGACAAGTCCCCATTCGTAACCGACCTCGACGCATACCCCAGCTCCAGAAACTGCTCAACCGCCCCCGGCGTCTCCCTCGCCAACTCCGCCAGCCCAATCGACCGCGCCTCCTTGTCTTTCAGCACGCCCGCCGCGAAGCCAGCCTTGGCCACGCCCTCGGAGGCCTGCTTCCACGAGTGACGTCCATTACCACCAAAGTAGATGCCTCGTCTTCCAGAGGGCACAGTGGCATTCGAGAACAACTTCTCTAGAAGTAACTCGTACATCTTTGTCGTGTCGTCGATGTGAACGTGGTCCCACACTCCTTTACCTTCGCCGATGTACTCCGCATAGCCCTTCTTCAGAGCCCTTTTCGCCAGAAACGGAATCTGCACGGAGCGCTTGTTGAAGGGTCCCCTGCCGGTGCCGTAGATGGTCGGGTGCATGAGGATGTAGGTCGGCACGTTGAACTCTTCGCCTGCTTGGACGACGGTCACGTCGCATGTACGCTGGGGGTATGGCTCGTGCTCTTCGCGCTTGAGCTCGTAGGCGTAAATGTCCTGGGTCTTGTCATTGAATTCAAAGGGGGCGTCTTCTTCCGTGTAGATTTTGCTGACGGGACGGTTGCCGAGGCTAGAAGTGCCGGAGGTCTGTAAGGCAGGTCAGCATACGTTTCTGTAACCAGATTGTCATTGTCTGTGGGTTTCACTTACATGGATGAACCAGACTGGACCTCCAGTAGTCTTCTTCCTCTCCGCCAATCCTTCGATCAACGCCTTAGCTGCCAGCGGTCTGAATGCGCTGGCCGAATTGATCACAATGTCATGCTCAGACGCCTGTTTCTTGAGAAGATCGACCTGATCGAGGTTCTCGAACAGGACGGGCGTCATGCCCTGGGACTTGAAGTACTCTGCATGCTCAGGCTTTCGCACCAGCACGGTATATGTCAGGTTTTTGATGTCGGGGTGGGTTGATTTGAGGAGGCGGGTGAGGACGGAGCCGCCGCTGTGTCGTGTATGAGCTATCTGGTCTTGCTTTTGTGTGAGGGTGGGTGAGTCGGTGGATGACTTACATGTAGCCAGTTGCACCAGTAACAAGGACCTTTGTTGGAGCCATGGCTTCTTTTTGCGTTGTGTGATTATGTATGTAACTTGTAATAGTCGTTGATGAATCTTAGTAAACTCTCTATATGCCATTCATCATTCCAGAGCTCCCCTTATATACCAAAAGAGACACCACATAAACTCTATCAACCACTTTTCTAAGCCAATCACACAATTTCTAATCTGTTCTATCTCTCTTCTTGCTTTCTCGAATCCTTTTCCACAACTTCAAACGCCTCCTTCGCCAAGACGCCATCTCCCAACTTAAAGTGCGGCCATAGTTGCCTCATAGGAGGCTGCCGAGGTGGAGCTCTTCCATACCAGCCATGGCTTCGTCCGGGTCCACAACTGACGACGGAACCAGCGAAGCACCATGATTGCATGATACGCTTCCACCAATCGCGTTTCTTCCTCGAGCTTTCTTTGCTGAGTCATTACATACATGAAGTGCGGGCAAAGTTGCTTCAGTCCAGCTCTTCAGCTCTGGGATATATCCTATTCTGAACAAGTGGTTGTTCTCCAGGAGACAATCATGAAGTCAACCACTCGGATACAACAAGTTTGGACAAGATGGTTACCATGATTGTATTATTAGGTCATTGCTTCATTACAAATACAGATACTATCACATGTCTACATCAACACGCTTCCCACATCTGGTGCCCCATGGCAATCAGCCGGTTAAACAGCTCGTCGCGCATGATGATGGCTGTGAGATGATACTCCTTTCCGTCCTTTGTCCGCACCACCAATCCATCCACGACTTCTCTCCCCATGGCCCATCCCACGAGGATCTTGCTCTTCCATCCCAGGCCTCCAACCTTCTTCAGCTGGACAATGTGTTCAATGGCAACTGTCCACGCTGGATTCACATCCTCAATGTCCGAGGTCCAGCTCAACGCAGGACTGGTAGCCGTTGCCGTAATGTACGCATGGCCCTTTTTACCGTGATACCGCGCAGGGAAGCAGACGGGGCCGGCCATGTAGTCGTCGCCGGATCCTTTGTCGACCACGCCCAGACGATTCCGTGCGTCTTTGGCACCAACGGCAGCTTTGGCTCTATCGGCAGTGAGGGCCGTGTGGACGCCGCCCTTGGTGGTGCCCTTGAGTAGGTTGAGGATGCGGTGAGACCGTTTGGGCTTCCGCTGCTGAGCGTCGTCGTCCTTGACTTCTGCTTGTCCGTGGTCCATGTCGGGTCGCAGCGCTTCCCTCGCCTCGTGATCCGTAACACCTAATCCTCAGTTAGTATACCGTTCAAATGGTGAAGCACAGGATGAGCAGAAATTACCTAGAGCATCTACCTGCTGGGCAGCTTCAGGGTTGATCTTCTCTGCCGGAGGCGCGTCAGACGAAGGAGGCGGAGGAATGGGCGTCTTGTTCCTCTCGCCGATGCGTAACAGGGTGATTGTCACCTGAGCGTTTGTCGGAATGCCTCGCAGGATCGTGTTTCGCAGCTCGATGAACTTTTCCCATCGGGGATATGTCCGGTTGACAAACTGCAGAGCTGGCGTGATGATAGGGTCGCCAAAGAGGACGAACCCAACGCCAAAGCCGATGCCCTTGAGCAGCATGTACGAGGACACATAGAGAGATAGCAACAAGGCAGGCAAGAGACAGGCGGCCAGCGTCATTCTCGGCTTCTCGACAGGGAACGGCGGTGTCGGGCTGAGGGCGTTTCCAAACCGCTCCCAGGTATCGATGAAGTCCGAAAGCATGTGCATCAGAAGCCCGGTCTTGGTCCAGACCATGCTAGAGACGGGCTTCTTAGTCTTGTCGTGCACCGTATCCGTTGGCTTTCCGTCGGTGGCAGCCTTGGCTTTGGCGATGTCGTCGGTGAGGTTTGTCGGGTCCGGTGCCGTGTTGTCGTCGTGAGGATCGCCCTGAGGGTTCTTGCCTGCACTCGTGGCAACGACCACCTGTAAGCAGTCAGTATCAATGATTCATCTCGGGTCTACGATAAAGCAACGTTGCATAAGGCTGCTTACACCTGTACATACAGAAGCAATACTGTTGACGAAGCTGTGGGCCTCCTGCTCAACGCCTTCGCCCTCGTGTTTCTCTGGCGCGCCCGTCACAGAAGTATCGGAAGCAAGGACTCCGGCCGGCGGTTTTTGCACGCCTCCCGTCTTTGAATCGACAATTGACGGCGGTACTGGAGGGAAGCAGTAAGCCCTCGCCGGCGGATAGGCAATCAACACCATGAGAAACACGAGGACCGTGGGCACCAGCAGGTCCAAGAGCCAGGCAACGCTATATACGGCCAGGAAGGATGCCGTTCTCTTCCACTCTCGCCATGAACGAAGGCGTACGATGTGCTTCCACAGCGAGACGAGTGGCACAACGACCGTCATGTAGAAGCGCTCCAGCGTCGCCCGTAGCTTGTCTGGAGAAAATGCATCGTCGTCGGCAATGTTCATATCCAGATCAGCCAGAGGAGTATCCTCGATGCGCCGCACCTCGAAAATCTGCTGGTTGAACCGCCGGATCAAGGTCCATAGCTCTTCGTTTCTTAGGCCGCCAACCACCGGCTGCGGAACAAACTGTGCATTCTTGTTCCATCCAATGTTCTTCACCTCGACCTCGTCATGCTCGAGCTGGCTGGCGCCTTTGCTCTCGGCCTCGCCGCCGGTCTGGATGCTTTCTTCGGCGAGGGCATGGCTGGCTGTGGGAACTTGCTCGTCGTAGCCTTCGATTATCTCGGGCTCGCTGCCGGCTCCTAGAGACGACGGTTCGCTACTCAGGTCTGTAGCTGCCATTGCGATCTAAAAGGATCAAATGGTGGAATAAGAGGCTGTCACTAATAACAGTACATGTAACACAGAAACGATGTGATGATTGATTTGATGAAAGGAAGAGTTCAATGCTGTTGACTCACCTAGGTCTTCTAAACAGCTGCCATCATCGTCACTTACAGCGATCTCTAGTATAGACGCGCATCGAATCGTGATCGAGCTCCATACCTTATCCGTTCAGCTGGGCCTTGACTCTGCCGCCGACGTCAGAACTGTCTGGCATGAGGGCGAGAGCTGGTGACGTCACCGACTCCAGTAAAGGTGAGAAGGGACGCTCAGCTCAGCTGGCGGAACTGGAGCCGATCAGCGGAATTTGCCTCCAGCTCTGAGGCTGAAAACAAGGCAAGTGGATAGTATGAGCAGTACTATTTTGTTTCTATTTCTGGAATATAGATGCTATTATGGAAGAAAACAGTTGATTTCATGGAATTCTGGAGATGGTACGCGGGTGCACACGGTGGGGAGCTGAATGCTGGCTCACCGAGAACGGCGAGCACTGAGCCGAGATGTGCCTGAGAACGACACATACCCTGGACCTGACAGGTCCTCGCCCCAATACACGTGGTAATGTTAAGCCACGACCTGTTACTCGCATGGTCAATTGGTAATTGACTTTCGGTCGATAGTAATTCCGAACTTCCATATATATAGCGATATTTACACGTGCAATTCTATGGTTTCCCGATACATCCGTTCGCACGGCGAGGGGAAAGCCAAGCTGCAACTTACACGCAGGTAATGTACCATCGTGAGCCAGGGCGGTTTCTGATCAGGCTCTTGATCATGATTCAATGGTTCTGAAATTGTTGTTTAGGCCTCAAAATGGCCATACAGGACTTGAACATGGTCATATAGCAATGCATCAGTCGTGCAAACCCTTGTGGAACGACTCAAGAATGACCAGAAACCACCCTGCGCCTCGTAGGTATGGACGGCACTGCAGAACAATATAGTCTGTGTAATTAACATTCTGGTCCACATTTACAGAACCTGTATGAGTGATACTTAGTTGCTGAACTAAGCCGTAGAAATTATTTTGTAGATTACCTATCATGAGAATTGCGGTGCTACATAGTACCTACGGGACCGGTGGTGTTTTCTGGCAACGCTTATTCCATGACTTTTGTCCAGCATGGTTGCTTTGGACCTGGCTCTGCCGCAATGCCATTCCGCGTTATTACAGAAAAAAACAGCTCGTCAGTTCAGCAGTTCCAACCCAGAAATAGCGGAAGAAGGCACTGCGTGATGATTCAAGAGTGGTAACAGTATGAAGGTAGCGACAGAGTGCCCTTATGAAACCATGTAAGTTAGTATTCATCATAAAACAAGGGTTCTAGAAAAGCAACCCCGCGCCTCCTGATAGTATCCGACCGATGCCTCCCCTCCATGGCAAGATACCTGCCAATGACCTCTCCTGTAGCAGATTGGAGCCTCAAGTGCTCTTTCTCAGTCAACATGGAGGAATAAGGAAAGCATTGCGATGGTGAAGCCCTTAGCCGAGGCACAACTACACCGGAATGCTGTTGGATTCCGGTCGGCAATGGCTCCAATAACCGCGGATAAACCAACAACCAACGTACGATATCAAACTACCCAACTCGAAATACTCCCTTTCCAGAGCCCAAGGGATAGATGTGCAAGCTGAGACCAAAAAGCGCGGACCGCAAAATGAATATTCACACCCGGGTTAGCAACAAGAGCACTCTTTGAGAGGCCATCTTGCAGATCTTGTGTGTGTATACTCACTCCCTTGTATGTTCAAAATCGTGCAAATCCGCGTTTTTTTGCTCCCTGCTTGATATAATCTGCCTGTCAAGCGCAGCTGATACCGAGAGACACGGCAAGGCCCGGCTCGTGCAGCGAACAAGTCACCTCGCATAACTCGTATTCCTTCCCTTGCGCGCTGCATCACCAACCAACAACATGACCACTTCACCTTGGGCCTCTCTTCTGGCCGCCGCGAGAAAGCCACAGATATGCCTTGATGCCCGCTGGGCAAGCTCTCAAGGAGCTATTGTTCCGTCCCTGCCCGTAGCAGGTGGGTAATAACACGCCAGATGTATCCATTGCCCGAGCCAATGGATCTGTCACAGCCCTATCTTAACAACCTAATAAGGCTTAGCAGTGCTACCTTGCGAGGGTTATTAGCCCGGGTCAGTGCTGCATGTACAGGTGAAACAAACGTCCGCCATGAGACAGAGAATTTGGCTTCTCCTAGGACTCCGATTGAGCCTCATACTGCGATCTCGGAAATTGTGTCTCTTACGCCGCGATCGAAGGCGGTTATCTAGCCATCAGAGCCAGGAAATTGGTTAAAGTGAGACAGGTCCCTCGCGTGCAGATGCTAGTATGTACTATCGTGACGGGTACCAGGGATCCACGACGCAATGAGGGACAGGAGTGGGAGAAAACAACAGAATCGCAGAATCTGAGGAGACAACAAGGTCACGAATCAGCAGGGACTGGCAGACCTTGCTTCTTGTGGAATAGCAACCGTTCTTCGTGCATCACCACGGGAGAGATTTGCCATGCGGGAATACGAGGCTTCGTCTAGCGTTGGGCTTGCAGCAGATCCCCGGGGTAAACGGTCCTCGAAGGGCAGTATGTAATGTGATGATGCTATGCTTCTATCATGTATCCTCTGTCTCTGATGGCAATGCAGCCATGCGTGTAGCTGCTATGATGAGCCTCTACCCCTCTTACCCCGAGTCCTTAGGCGCGTCATATCAACGCGGTGAGCCCATATGCTGCATCAAGGTCGAACAATGCAAGACATGGACCGTTCTGAAAAAACACCTCACTGAGACAGAAGCGAGGGAGAACAACGAGAGAGACTAGAGATGAATGAACTTTGCTAGGAGCGCCAAGAGGTAACCGGATTCTTGGTATCATGGTGTCGTCGGGTCTCGCAAGGAGCAAAGCCATGTGTTCCCCCACAATGTGATATTTCCACGTTCACCAGCTATCGAATCATTGCTTCCAGGCTTCCATGCTAATCGAGAGCTACTCTGTGAAGATTTTGACAAGGTAAACTACGAATTGGCTGTAGTCTTTGCAAGCTAGCCCGGGTGATGAGATATACACCGCTGAAGCGTTCGGAAGGGCAAGGAGACCAGGGATGGAGCCGGAAGATGATGTCCACGGAGCACAGATCTCTACCTAGAGCAGTGAAACATGAGCACGGCCGCTCTTTCGTAGAATTCAACACCATGTACTGTGCTGGATGCAGGGCCTATTGCTGAAGCCGGGAGAAATCTGCGACATGGGGGCGCAACAGGGGATTTACCTGGTTGTAGGGGCACAATAACGGTGTATCTGAGATGAGCCGAGCCAAAACGTTGCCTGTATTTTCCAGTAGTAGAAGGCTCTGAGCAGTGAGGCTGTCGTACTCTGTAGAGAAGTCTTATAGCGGCTCTGCTTCACCGAGCTCTCGCGTGTCAGCTTATGGTGTTACCATCACCACAACTACAGTACTACAAATTCATAACTTGCCTTTCCTTTTTCTTCCCCCTTTTTTCTTTCTTTTTCCCTCAAACAAACACTATATCTTTCCGGTGGATCTCTCGCCCACCGCCCACGGTTCGTCTCGACTAGTCCCATGTCTGATTTCTCCACAAGCATCGCGAAAAGCGCTGTCTCAGCGCTCTCCGGAAGCTCAACCTTCGCTTCCGGCGTCATGAATTCAGCTTTACCTGGCCTTAGACCAAGTCTATTGAGATTTAGGCGTCATCCACTGCGAGTCTTTACATCAGGGTTTTAGACATGTCCTGCTGGCACCAACGAAGATAGTTTCTCGACTACAGGAGTACGCCTGTGGTCGAGGTGGCTTGTTTTTCAAGAGGCGTACGCACCCTGTCGAGAACCCATCGTGATAGGGGCTCTCGACTGGCAGCGGAACGCTGTGAGACAATCCAAAAATGCTTTTGTAGAGGAAGGGATCAGGATGGATTTCGAAAAAAGTCTGGAGTGTTGCTTCCAACTGGGTCCTTTTGACGAGCAATGCATTGGCTGGAAATGAAGTCTGAACTACAACCGTATTACCCTTTCAGTAGATGCCCCCGGATCCAGGAGGAGTTCAGGCAGTATCTTGAATCCACCCCGAACAAGAAGCACATCTCGAAGGAGGAGAAGCTTAAGCTGGTGGCATGGCTCGTTGACCCAAACGCCAAGCCTACGTGCCAGAAGGACTACAGCCGCCGCAACTACGCCCAGAAGACGTACAGATGGGACGAGAGCCGCCAGGAGCTCTGGGCCATGGCGAAGAAGGACAAGGGCGGGGATCGCATAGTCATCACGGTGGATGAAATCCTAGATGTAGTGGAGCGCGTACACACGGCCAACCACGGAGGGTGGGATGCAACTTGGGACCGCGTCAGCCGCAAGTACTGCGGCATTGTTCGATCCGACATCATCTTCCTCGTCAAACGGTGCGGCCTGTGCCAGTCGGATCCGCGAAAGAGGGCAAAAGGAGGCCAGGCTCAGTCCCCTGCTTCTACCACTGCCTATGCTTCGACTCCGTCGCCTCCAATGACACCCCCTGAGCCTCAGATCGAGTACGACGAGAGCTCGTACGACGATAACGAGGACGGCGAGAACGAGGGCAACGACGTGATCCAATACTGGCAGGAGCAAGTGTGGCATCAAGAATGGATGGACATGCAAATCGACCCATCCCTGCTCCCCTATTACGACTATTCCGTGGGCGAGTCCTCGAGCAGCGGCAGCAGCAACACTTATACCTACGATTTCGGACAATAAGGCTGTGGAACCACACGACTCCACGAGCTACCACGATCAAAACAGAGTTGGACAACATGTTGAGGTGGTGCTGTGGAGGAAGAGGTCCAGGCGGATGCGTCGTCAGCGTGCTGGGGTCGTGCTCACGGGAGAGCCTTGATGGGGCAATGGCCTCCGAAATACCGCATTGTTTGGCTGTTTGGGCGTGGAATCAAAGGAAAACCTTGGGATTTTTTTGTTTTCTGCTTTTTTGTTTCGGACGTTAGCTAGTACTAGGATGACCAGATTGTTACTCAATTGGATGATTTTTGTTTCATGGTACCGCTCTGTTCTCCTCTTCCGTGCATCCTGACAATGGATAGTCCCCGCTGAAGACTGCTGCAGAATCGTTGACAGTTGCCTCTCAACGAATCGTCGTGAGCCTCGCCCCTGGTGACCCAGCGAGTGAGCCCCCTGGTGAAGTGAAGCTCCACGATGCATGCTGTCAGGCTGCCAAGGGAGAGTATCCATACTTATACCTTGATTGAAGTTTGAAGAGGAGAAGCAAGGGCCAGGGCCCCCGGGATGAAGAAGTCTGGTGACCATGACCACTCTCCCGATGGCGGAGTCTGTGAAGCAACTTGATGAGAGGCGTACGCGCGCAGACAACAAGAGTCAAAGGCGGTATGTCAGAGTCTCCCCAAGGTGGTCATGGGACAGGAGAGATAATAACTGGAATGTAGTAGTCAACCGCAAGAGTGAGCAGGGGGGAGTGTATGGCTGCCCAGCATGTTTGAGGACTTCCCAAGCGGATGTTGAAAAGAAGGTTCAAGTTTCGTGGAATCCTCCTCGGGGCTGACGAGGCCCTTTTATATCCCTCCCTCCTCGTCCCACGATCTCTGGCCCCCCTTGAACCATGTGACTCAGGGGGGCCGGGAACGTGTTGGTCCGCGCCATGACACGTATCGTGCTGCAGCTGTTGGATGCCATTGGAGACGCTTGGAATAGTTACACGGAGCTTGGACATGTGTAACTTGACATCTCACGAGGACGTGACGCTTTCAGCCTATAAGGGGGGGTGCCCGGCCACCCCCCTGACGGACCTCGTGGAAGTGAGGCCTGAGAGGTGGTTCACGGACATGTTCCGGAAAGGTCTGGCCTCCCGGTCCACAGGAATAATCTGTTACGCCCGTTGAATACGTTGAAGGCTGATAAACCTGACTTTGATATGTCACCAGAGCTGAGTACATGGGAAGTGAGAGGGTGGTCGTGTTTGTTGCGTCGTATCGAGGTGATACACCCCTGGATGGTGGATTTTGGCAAGTGTGGTATGATTGTGGCATTCCTTTGATTTCGATTGGTCTAGATGGTGTGATTGATACGTTTACAGCTGAACAGTCTCCTCGACCAAGCTTATCTTCTGGGATTGCAGCCTTCTCACTTCAAGCAGCTTGGAGGAACTCAGGGATATTGATTAGTTCATAGTTTTTAGGCTGTGGCCTTCTTTGGCTGTGATCTGACCCCTGTTGTCCATGACATACGATAATACCCCTGAAATATTGATTGTGGCAACATTACCGGCACTGGGGACGGCGAGTCGACGGGAGTGGACTCTGAGAGATGTTGTACATGTAGATGGGCCAAGACTCCACTGTCAACTTGCGTTTCCTCCAGTGTACGTGCAGAATTCGTTTCTTCAGGTGGTTCTGAACTAGAATCGCGTTTACTGCCCGGCCTTTGACAGTATCTAAGTAGATAGAAGATGGATGGAGCCCGAAATCAAGAAAGCCGTCAAGGTCAGGTTTTGCATGCACACGAATAATGGCAACACTATCCTAGATAGGAAGATACGTCAGAAAAGGAACTTAATTCTTGATGGTATGCTATGTAGGCTCTGACTTCCCAGCATCCTCCTCCTCCGAAAGGTAATTGTTGGGAAAGATCGAGCGCAGCAAAGTTGGAAGTCGCCTCAATATTCAGCTGCACTGACGACACGCCATATGACACATCAAAAAAGCCAAGTCCTGCGGACTTTATTCATGCTAGGGCAAGCCTGACGGAGCATGCAAGGCATCATAGGCGTCACGACGATCCCAAAGGGGGCGAGAAGCCTGCAGTGTTTTGACATTCAGGTTAGTGAAGAGAGCCAAGTACAGCTATATATGTATCAAACAAGAGTCATAATATAACTGGCAGATCTATTAAAGAAACATTGGACTATCATACACATATCATGGACGTGTATAGCACCCCATTTGCAACGAACTCTATGTAGAGCTGAAGTTCATTCTCCTTCAGCCAATCATACTCATCAAGCCCCTGAAGCTGCAATAAGGACGATCAGCATGAAATGTCAGGTCATAGAGGCGCAACGAAGTCTATTGGCAGGCAGCCTCAAACGAGAAATAAGAACATATCAGAAAGGTGATCAAATCCACCTCTTGAAAGCAACCAAAACATTTGAAGATTCAAGGTCAAGTCGGCCTCCTCTCCATTTAGTCAGAACGCGTATGTGTCCGCTTGTGAGGCTATCACGCCCAAGTAGCATGCGCCAACCACAAAGTCCTGTTATTCCAGGTGGGATCTGAAATGACAACCGAAGAATTAATGTTGAGATCAACAGTCGTGGCCTCCTTTCCGTACTCCGGCCACGATGCCAGCCCCAACGGCCCAGCATCCGGCACTCCATTCTTCGCAAAGCCAGCAATAGCATGCTGCATAATGCTCGCCACATGAGGATCAACGCCTGCAGCCGGTCCATCATAGAAAGTATACGGGATGTCACTTGCATGGATAGCCGGAAAGACTGAAAATTGCCACGCATAAACTTCCGTACCACGACTGATCGTCGACTGAAGCAGGGGCTGATGAGCCGTGGCGAAGTACATCTCATTCGCCATCAGAATCTTACGGTCGAGATCAGTCGTGTATGGTTGAGAGCCATCGTACACGGGAGGGTAGAGAGTATCAAGTACGTAGCAAGCGTCTTTGTCTGTGATGAGCGGGTTAATGACCCGGAGTCTCTGTACCAATGCCGTGTCGTTGCCAATGGTTCGAGGGTCGGTGAACAAAGCGCCCTCGTAGCTGGTGTGAGAAGACAAAATTGGAATGTTCTTGGCAAAAGAGCCATTGAGCAGCAATGGGGCTGGAGGGCCGGGAATGTAGTCGTTGTCGACGGATGGGTTGAAGGCAAAGACATTGTAAGGCGCAGCTCCTATCTGCTGGATATTGGCGGCGATAAGGGCACTCGAGGGGAGCCGTCTGGCTTCTTCCAACGAAGTGACGTTGAGAATGGAGAGAAACGTCTGAAAGTTGCTCTCCTGCTCTGCAGGATCAATCAGGGTAGTCAACGGGACAGACTGTACGATGGCCCTCTTGAACGGAGGAGCACGTTTCCCCTCATGAGCAAGCAGATGGTACATGATGGAGCCCGCACCGGCCGACTCGCCCATGACCGTCACATTGTCAGGGTCTCCTCCGAATTTGGCAATGTTCTCCTGCACCCACTGCAAAGCGAGGAGTTGGTCGTGTAGGCCGGCATTGGCGGTGCCGTCTGCCTGCAGGGATGGTCCTGCGAGGAAGCCAAACGCGCCGAGGCGGTAGTTCATGGCGACCCAGACAATGCCATCGCTGCCGTCTTCCTGAGAGGTAGAGATGATGCCGTTGGGACTACCCCAGGACTCTTTTGTTCCACTCACCCATCCGCCTCCCTGTTACTTTGATTAACTTTTTGCACAAAAGCTGGGGGTTGAGATAGAAGCTCACATAAATCCAAACCACCACCGGGGCCTTTTTCCCATGTTTCTTATTGTCAAAGACCTTCTTGGGGACAACCACATCCAGGACCAAACAATCTTCTGTAGTTCGAGGGTCCACCGGCTGCGGAGTCGTGTTTGCAATAGCCTCGGCCTCGGTAAAGTTGAGCGGAAGCTGGTTGGTTGCCCATGCCGCGACAAATTGCTGTGCAATAATTGTCCAATTGGGTGAGATCTGAGGGCATGTCTTGCCGACGCTTCCATCTTGTATGGTCGTCTTGACGCCACGGGGTGGAACAGGAGCTCTCCAGCGCAGAGATCCAAGGGGAGGTTCGGCGTAGGGGATGTTGGTGAAGTTGTAGGTTCCGGAAGTGTCCTGTGAAGTCGTTAGTGTAAGCCAGGGACAGGGCAATGTGGCAGTACGGACATTGTATGAGATGGCTCGATGGACTTGATATCCCAGATCAACAGTTGGGAGAGATGGTACGCTGGCGGCTTGAGCTGCCAGCGCAAATGTTGAAAGCAAGAACAGGTTCATTTGATGCATCGTGAGGGTGAACTTGATGCTGATGAGAAGCATTGAACATGTTGGGCTGAGCAAGAGCATCCTTATATAAACGCTTATTGTTTCTTTTCAATCACCTATTCGTCATCAAATCCATCACTGCCTTCTATTCAAGAGTCAAGTGTCGTTGTCTTGATGACTGACTATTTCCTACAACGGCATTACATCTTGAACCAGATTCGGTAGTCTAAGCTTCAAATCCCTTCCCAAAGCGGCAATACAGATCCAGGGGCACGGTCGAGCGTGACATGGATCAGCCTGCCGCACTAGGCTCCGAGACAGCCTTGAACAGCTTGGGATCCCAGTCAAGAGCCAAATTTCCAATTCCGATCTGGGTTATTAATGGCTCCTAGCTTTACCAATCGTATCGTGTATTGCCCGATACTACAACAACCCACTGTAAGGTTTGTGTAGGATCTAGATGCCAGTGAAGAATTTTTAGATGTTTCTAGAACATTATAGGGAAGACTATACATTGTGTTGTATAATACTCTGCTGAAATGAATAAGGCTTCAGGCGGAGTCGGCTTCTCTGCGGAGCCCGACGATAGCGTGTAATGACGACAAGTATAGGCAGCTGTTGAGATGCGTCACCAACTATGTATATCAAGAAACTCATTAAAAAAAGGCAGCTATGTGGTCATAAAGTCTTGTCTTTTATGCTTTGGATAGTCTCTCTGCTCAGTCCCATCATCAAGGACAATGCTCTGGAAGGAGTATGTATATACCGAACTTCCATTGATGTATCGAGGAGTAACAATCTCTCTCAACCAGATGATGACCTCTTTCACTTATTACACTATATTGTTAAACTACGATGGTTTTAGAATGCTGCTGTTAGAATAATTATGTTGTTGCAATTTACAGCCTGGCCCGCTAATTCCTCAGGCATGCCTCACCTCTGCTTATTGTGAAGAGTCAATAGCATGTATGATACAGCGAACAACAACAACAACAACAACCGTAATCAACGACCACACTTTGCAACCTCGACACCAGAACTCAACTTCTCCCATCCAACCTATCTAAACCATAACTCCAAACTCACCAAGCCAAATTCCATCAACGAATCAACTCCCTCAAAAGACAACCTCCCAGAGTACTACAACACCAAGCACTCTCTCCAATAACATCCCACCCCAACTTCCCCAAGCACAACATCCAACACCCGCCAACCCAACCACAGCATACGCTACCACGCAGCCCATCAACCAGATAGACCCCCCATCACCCTCATCACAGTCACACAGCCCGTCTAATCCTCCAACCAACACCTCTCCTTCCCGGCTCCGTCCCATGCCCCATCCTCCCACCACTCGAGCAAATTCACCGATGCAATGCTCCCCCCCTTCCCGATGCATCTACCCGCACGCAAACGGCCAGAGAGAATGCCCACGAGGTGGGCTAGGCTGTGGGATACGCGTTACTCATGTAACAAGCACAGAGGCACATGTCAAGTCATGGGCTACGCTTGGCATGTGTTTTGCATACGAGGTTTCGAGTTGATGGCGGCTTGTCACCTGTGCTCTGGGCTGATACACGGAGAAGTGGTCCGATTCCCCGCTTGGCAGAGAATCGAGGAGAGGGGATTGAGAGTCATACGAATCATGCACCGTCTTACGAGATACGTGTGTGTCTCTGGCAGGGTTCTACGTCTCACTTACATGCGACTCACTTACACGTAAGGTAGGTCTGCTCAGCACGCAGAATGGGAATTCCACTCGCCATTCTCTTTAACGAAGAAGACAGTCCAACTCTTCAATGACAATCATCAGAATAGTCAATTATAATAAAACAAGATAAAGGGACTAGTGAATACTTCATACATCACAATCCGAAGCCATCACTGTCATGCCACGTTGCCAGCCCAAGCCAAAAGCACCAACACATCATCTGCAACAGTATCATCCAAGTACATACCCCGTTGAAAAGACAGGGCATCGACTAACCGAAAGGAAAGAAGCAAAGGTGAACAAGTACACACGGCAGATGGCATATCGGGTCTATAAAAAGAAGAGAAATGGATACTTACCATGAGAAAAAAGCGAAAAAAGAGAGGCCAGTATAAACGAAACGGCCGCACATCGGCTTCCCGACGCGGTGCGACTCGGGCTCGCTAAAAACGTGGGATTGTGCATGTCATTTCGGATACGTCTTTGATCGTCGATCTATGTACTTGTTCTTTCTTGCATTGTCCCGTGGATTTGAATGGGTATGCTAGGGATATGTCGTATGGCGATGTTGCATTGGCGCGGAGCGTACATGTAAACACCGAGGTGAGCATCGTGAGAATCGCATCAACGGTACTCTGTACTTGTGAATGAAAACCGGCTCTCGGGCGTTTCATCGAGATAACACGCACACATAGGCATGCTGCATTCTTTCCCAAAACTAAATCCAAGCAATTCGACCTATATAGAACACAACTTCTCTACCAATGGCTTCCAAAGTCAGCTCGGGCACGAAGCCGGGCCGCGGATACGAACAAATTCGGCAACGAGACGCTCTTGGGCATACAACTTTGCCACTTGGGTATAACAGTCGTTATCAACACTCTCCATTATCATTACGACAACGCAGGCATAAACAGCCAAAAAAGAACAAATCGCAAGATTCGTAGATGACAGGATGATATCAGGCCATTGAGACATTATGTCTGCTTCGCACGATGCAAAAGCATCTAATGGGCCATTGGGAGTGCGAAGCTATTCTAACTGCTGCAACCTCCCAAGATACCTAGTCGCCGACTCGCCGAGCTCACGCATCCCCATACTTACCGAGGTATCTCAAAACTAATGCTAGGTGCTCCAAATCCCAGCAACAGCGAAATCTCACCATCCGATTCTCATCATAGATGCTCAGAATGCACTTTGCCTTTATACCACTTGAACAAACCCTACATTTACCTTGTAATCCATAGCTAAGGTATCTACATCCATGCACGCATTCACCACACCAACACGATCCAATCGTACAAACAACCCAAGAGACACACATCTGCCGACGCATACACGTACATACGAAGCGCATAGTACTCATCTTACTCACCTACATACCGCATCGCATCACCAACCTATCCCATTCCATCAACTCCGCGAAACCCCATCAGTGAACTTGCCCCCCAGCCCCCCCAGCCCGCGGCCCAAGGACCCGTAGGTAGTACGTACGCCCACGCAAGTAAGCACCGCAAAAGGTGAACAACATGGCTTGTAAGCCCCATCTCCCCATATATATGTACGATACGCAGTACTATATCCATCTCTATCCGCCCATCCGCTCATCCGTATCCGCATCTCACTATCGGCGAGGAGCAATAAACAAGGCAGAAATAGTCACTAGAAAAAGAGTGCATTGATAGGTAACCAGGAAGGCAACGATGGCAGCAGTGAGACTCGAGCAAAAGACGAACAAAGCAACCAGAACCAAAAACAGCTCACGTATAAGCCGACCAAGTATCGCAACATCAAGCTCCATCCAAGCTCTCACAAACAAGGACACGTCCATCGACAATCGGCCTATCGATTTGAATGCTACCAAGAAAAGCTCCACGATACCATCTCCCCCCTCCATCCTCTCTACAGCTACCCATGTCACCCACACCCACACCCCATACCTGTACCAAAACGATGTAGCAGCAGCAGCAGCAGTAGCAAGCAGCAGAAGCACACGTCACATTCAAATCAAGCACTCAAACCAAGGAAGCAAGCTGCTGACAGAAAAGCTCTGTTCTATTTCATTCATTTTTTGTCACCAAGTAAATCCATCGCTCGCTAGTATCCGATGCATCTGCTTTTCTTTTCCACTGTACCACCACGTCACCTCTCTATGCTCCTCATCTTCTCCCATGCTATATCAATTATTATGCTTTTTTATTTCTTCTTCTTCTTCTTCTATCTGTTCCCATTCATCAAGTGCGAATGACATCTTCTGATGCATCGCGTCCTTCTTTTTCTTCTTTTCTAGTAATCGTTCCCATCCCAGCTAATCAGAATAGCTCAACTAGTCCAGTCTGACGTACAGCGCAGTGCCATATGACCAGCTAGACAAGGCCGTCCCGAAACCGGGAAAAGCTGTAAAGAGTGTAGCAAAAAAAAGCAAAAAACTCCAAGGGTGCTATGCATGTCCCATTTCCCCGCCCCAGATGATTGGGGTGTATGTGTGTGTGTGTGGTTGTTGTCTCTTTTTAGTGTATGTATGTATATGGCAGGTGTGTGTCTCGTGTCGTGTCGTGTCCGTCTAAAAAAGACGGATGAAAAAAACAGAATTATGCACGCTTTTCTTTTTTTTCTCTCCCCAAATCATGAGCAAACGCCGACCCCGCTTATCTACAGGTGGGTGTTGTGGTCTATGTAACATGATGAAAAGAGCATGTCGAGAAAGCAAGGGTGACGAGAGATGGGTGTGTCTGTCTCCATGCGCGCTGCCTCGCTCGCCTGCCCGGGTTGATGAACAGACGAGGTCATGGCATGACATGAAGCGGGAGCCCATCTCTGCGGTGGTATGTCGGAAGGAGTGACTAGAGTCGGGTATCATTTCGTTCGAATTAAGCAATAAGTCGTTAAAAAGTAGTTGTTTCGCGTGAGACAGTGTGTGCCGGCGCTGCAATGTTCTATGTTGGTATGGTCGTCAAGTCATGGGTCAATATGCCAGTAAGGCGTTTCGTCCAGAAAATGCTGAGAGATCCAGAGCCGGAGAAACGTAAAAAAAATGAAAATCCAAGAATGCGTAAAAATGTAAAGGAAAGAAGAGGAGAGGGTTCAGAGTCGGAGCTTTTCCGCAAGGTTCCTCCAGAACCGCGGCGTCTTCTCCTCGCTTCGAGCTCGCACCATGTAGGCATCCCGCTGCATGGGCCCGACAATGTCCTCGTCGCCGCGGCCGGGGAACTTGCCCTCGGCGTCCAGAGCCTCGAGCATCTGGGGCACCGCGCTGGGACGGCATCCTCTCCTGCCGCGCCACTGCATGGCCGCGTAGATGTCGTCGTTCTGGCTCTGTCTCGAGCCCTGGCCGGCGGGATGGGCGCTCTCGGAGCGGCCTCGCCCGCGGCCTCGGCTGCGGCTGCGCGAGTTGGCGGAGCCCGAGATCATTGGCTGAGTGCGGCGCACAATGTCCGTGTAGTGAAACTTCCACTTGCGCTCAATCTCGGCCCATTTGGCCTCGGTCAAGCCGTACGTCTTGCTGGTCTGGCCGTAGTGCTCGCCGGTGCGCACCAGATGCTTGGTGTAGGCGACGCGGGCGGCGTCCCAGTCGTCGCAGAACTTGGTGACGGACTCGGCGGTGATCTCCTCGACAGCGTAGGGCATGGGGGTGATGGTGAAGTTGGCGTGGCCCAGGCGGTCGGACCACTCGTCCTGGTCCTGCAGGATGGACGGCGGCAGCGGCAGCGGCAGCTCGGCCAAGACAGAGACGTGGCGGAGGGAGGAGACGGACGGCTTGGAGGCGAGGGACTGCCGCGGGGTCGGGACAGCAGGGCGAGGCGAGTGGACCTCCGTGACGGCCGACGACGGCGCAATGCTGGGCGACTGGCGGGTGGGCGACGACATGGACGACGACCGGCTGGACGCGGCGCCGGACAGGACGTTTTCCAGGCTGCGCTCAGTGGTGGGCGACGTCATGAGCCCGGTGATGCTGTTTGCCTTGCGCTGGGACTTCCACCGCGCGATGCTGGGGAAGCGGTGGCCGATGCGGGACGTCAGGGCGCCAAACGTCGACTCGCCGCCGATGAGGCGCTTCTTCTTGGACGACTGGGCATCGCCCGAGAAGTCGCTGTCGCTGAGGAAGCCGAGGTCGTAGTCAATGTCGAATTCGCCCGTTGTGTCTCCCTGCAGCAGCTCCTGGGAGTTGTTGAGGTGCTCGCATGCATGGTCGCCTACTCGCGAAACAAAGATATGTCAGCCATAAATTCCGATATAACCAAATTGAAGCCGCCTCTCTCCTGAGTCTCCATCAGATCACCACTCACATAGACAGTACATGCCAAGGTTGTCGCTCAAATCATCGTCGTAGTCATCGTCCTCCTCTTCCTCCTCCTCCTCTTCTTCTCCCTCCTGCTCATGCTCCTCCTCTCGTTCTTGCGGCTCTTCCTCCACCACGTCCGGCAGCTGGCGAATGCTCGACTTGGACGCAGCGGCGAGCTGGGCAATGGGCGAGGCCGGGCCCTCCTGAACCGGCAGCTCCAGGGACGAGGTCGAGCTGGAGTAGCGCAGAGGAACACCGCGGTTGGAAAAGGTGGGCGTCAGGGGCGAGGCAACGTCCGACGAGGAGGAATTCGTGGTGTAGTAGACATAGCTGAGGTCGCAGGGCTCGAGGCTGACGCCCTCGTCCATGGGCGTGCCGCTCTTGCGATCCTGCACCAACTGCGGCAGCAGCAAATCTCTCAGCTGGGGCGACATGCCTCCCTCCCGCTGCGGCGAGGTCGAGGGAGTCGGATGTCTTGCGTTGGCTGGATTGTATGGACGGGGGTGTTGTATAATATCGGGGAGACGGGATTCAAGTGTGCGGGATCTGGTGCTGCGTGGTGGGATGTTTTTCGCTGTGTGCGCGAGAGCACCGAGTACCGGAGCGTGTAGCGGTACTTCAAATCTGTAGTACTTCGAGTCGATATGGCAGCGGAGGCAAGCAGATACTTGTGTGGCGACTTCGTCAGGGAGGAATGTCGACGGCAATGGCTCTCTCGTGGGATTGCAAAAGGATATATTGTGTTGATATGGTCTGTCTGACGGCTGGAGGACTGGAAGCAAAAGACGAGAGCCAGCGCAGGCTTACAAGAAGGCGGGAACAAGCACGTAAAAAAGAGTCACGGAACGAAAAGACGACGAGTGGAGCCGACGATTTTGCCTGTGTGGCAGCAAGGCTAAAAGGTAGGTGCTCCGGACGCTGCTGGCCCAGGCGTGTGGTAGCAGCAGCAGCAGAGCGCTGGAGCACTGAGGGGGCTCCACCGGCAGGGGGCAGGCCAGGCCGCCCAGTTGGCCCCGGCCGCACCTTTTTAGCACCCTGGGAGCGCTACAGGCCTGCGGTGCGGGACAGTACAAAGTACAAGGCGCAAAGTACCCGGCTGCTGGTAGGCGACATTAGCGTGGGTGGGTAGCACCAGACTGGACTCAGATGGACTTCCTTGGACTGGCTCTGGCTCTGCTCTGCTCATTGAGGCCTTGCTGGCTTTGGGACCCAACGGTACGTACTTTCGTTGTACCCTCATTGAACTTCCAAGGGCCCTCAACCTCCCGTTGTGATGCCCCCCCGGCTGCTCCTCCGGCCTCCTCAGGTCTCCTCAAGGGCCTCCGTGCTGGTGGTACGAGTACCTTTGGGTCTCAACTTCAGGTTCTGTCTGTTCCTTTGGCTTCCAGGCCGTTTCGACTCGTCCTCGTCCTCCAGCGTTTCTGTGCGTGTCTCTTGTGCTCCTATCGCTCCCCCTTCTTCCAGCCATCTCAGGCCTGGACGGCAACAGTGGCGTGTATCTGCGCAGCCTGAAACTGGGCCTGCAAACAACATGATATGAAATCCCCGGCCTTGTCCCTTTGGGTGCCCAGTACGGAGCTTTTGGGTAGAAGCAAGTCGTAGCAGAAAGACACTCGGACATCAAATGACTACCCGCTTGCTTGCTTGTCTCTGCTCTGCCAGTCTGTGTCCAGTCGTGCTCCCATCTCCCCATTTGGTCTACAAGTACCGCGCAGCGACTACCGGCGGTCTGCGTACCACGGACCCGGAAGCACTGCCAGCGAAGCGGTGGCGGGGCTGTACAGAGTACTCCGTCGTCATGTCCTCACTCGGCCTTTTGATGGCTGTCCACCTCAGTCTGTCAGCCTGGATTGACCACTGTGCTGTGGCGAAGGAAGAAAATTCAGCAACATCCATGCCATCCATCCATGGCTGAGTTGGGCAGCGCGGCTGTGATTACCAACCTGGAACCCTATTGTTAGAGACAACAGCGCCAAATGGCATGGATGGGGGACGAGATTGAACAGAGCACGAGACCGCTCAACTGCCGCGGCCATGTGCTAAGAAAAGAAACAGCTCGCTGAAGATGATCGGCTCTAAGCGCCCACCACGATGTTTTTCTCTAGAGTCGAGATACATTCGGACATGTGCTGGATGGCGTGTTTTCTGTGATGTTTGTTTGTTGATATGCCCGTATTTGTTTGCCCATCTGCTGGCTGCATGGATGTCGTTTGTTGTCAACGGAACAATCGTTATGCGCGCGCGTGGGCAAGCACATCTGGCGCATGTAAAGATACAGCGGGCGGCTTAGCGAGCACAGCGCTGAAGCGTGCTGTAAGTCCCGGCCTCACCACCCTCTCGGTACTTTGGAGCTGCAGCTTCCGTCGTCGAACATCGCGCTCATGCAGTGAATCGACGCTCATGCTCGCATCAACCCAACATCGACGTCAAGCCGCTGCAGCAATTCGGACATTGACGATCTGTCCATTCCATTGAAACTTGATTCCGATGCCGTCGTCCTTTCCCCTCACCTGCCCGCCATCCGTCGCCCATCACCGCTCTTCTTCCCTTCATGTCCTCCTCCCCATTGTCTCGTCATCCATCATCCCACAGCCTCCACCAGACGAACAACAAACTCCCGCTCAGCAAAAATCACCCGAAAAGTCGGACAACAGCCTCTCTCTTTCTACGCCGGCCCCCGTCCACGTGTTGCCGCGCTCGCATTGGGCGGCCTGAGAAACCCGGTGTGATGAGCTCTGCTCTGTGGCTTCCTGGCGATGCACGCACATGCAGCCGTGATGCAGCTGCAGCTTCAACAGCGCGCATGCAGCCCGTCCAGCCTCTCTCTGCCTCTCGCCGTCTCTCCCCACCCGCTTCTTCCCCCCCGGTCACGGTGATGGAATAGCCGCCTTTCTCCGTTCCTCGTTCATGTCTATTTTATCGTGTTGACGCTCCCTTTCGCGCTTCTACTGGCTCCAGGCCGTCCTCGTCTGGATTCGATGTCCAATCATGCTCACCCTTGCCCAAGCCCAAAAAAGATGCGTGATTCCGGCCTCGCTTCGTGACGGCCTCCAGCCTCCTCCCACTGCCCCGAGGCTGGGCCCAGCAAAGCACCGCCTGAAGCAGGCTCTCACGCAGAAGAAACGAGACACAGCCAGCGGCAAAGAGGGTCGTCGACCGGTGGGAAGCGAGACGCCAGCACTGACGCCGGCACTGACAGCCAGCCCAGCCATCGCCAGACGCCGGAGCCTGTGACCATGCCGAGGAGGGGGAGGTTGAACCACTGGGCGCGAGAGGCTCCCAGTCCGTGATGCGCCGCACGTGAGGGCCAGAATGGTCAGAGGGCCATCTGACGTGGTGCGAATGCAACCAAGGCTGCGTTTGACTGGCGATCCCTGCCCTTCCCTATCGGCGAAGCCATCGCGGCCTGTCTTTGGCCTACTTGACGCTTGTTTGCTTTGATTGCTCAGATCCGACCTCTTTATATCGTCTTCAGGCCCTTGTATCCTACAAGTACATCTGCCGTCCGCTTACGAACTGCTCCGTATGAAGTACATCATCATCAAATGCCATATCATATCGCGCTGCTTGCACGCGGGCAAGGCCTCGGATGCAAGTACAAGTACAGCAAGACATGCATCGCTCACATCCATCAATGTCACACATGGCGCCAAACCTCGCAAGCGACAACGCAGATACAACTTGTGTCCGAGTACAGAGTCTGTCTGTCCCAATGACATCGCGGCTCCCTCCCCGGCCCCTCAGAAGCGCCCCTCAGGCATCGCCCACCGCCTTGTCTGCCAACGGAGAGAAGGGCGCAGAGAAGGAAAATACTAATAAGAAAAATAGAAAATTATGGGACAACGGCGGCGGCCGAGGAGCCGCCAGCAAAGGCAGTCATCCAGCGCAAGCAGAATCCTGAGCCCTGGGGAAACTCGGGGACACGCAGCGGGAGGCTCCTCCGTCTCGCCTCGACCCATCTCCTCTAGGCGCTATTTGGCATGAAGCCAAACCCGGTGGCATGGGCATAGCATGGGCATAAGTTCATGGCAAGGGCCGGTGCTGGGTAAGGCCTGTAGCCGGCATCGCTCGCTCTTCAGGTGACGAGCGGCCATGGTCTCCCCATGCGACCCTGGGCGAGCTTACTTGCGCCTATTTTTTGCGAGAGTCCAGGGAGCACATTCATGGCCTCGGCAACGCTGCTCTAGTGCTCTACGTGTAAGTGTCCTGTCCCTCTCCAACAGCCAGCGTCAACGTGTTCCTCCGAAGCAAGAGACAAGCAGCGGTGACATGCCACCAGACGGGGCCCGTACCCAAGCCTGCTGCCCGTCGCCCGTTCAAGCTTCTCGATCCAGCCCTAGCACAGAAACACAGGATAGCAATTGGATCAAGCTTCGACGTTCCGCTGCGATTTGCTCGCAGCCCTATGCCGCTTCCAGGCCTAGCGCCACGCTCTGGATGCGAAGGGTCTCTTACCCGGACGCACGTCTGGCACACCGGCTCTGTTTCTGATGCGGAAGAGCACAGCTAGCAAATCCCGACTTTTGGCTCTTGTACACGTTTACATTCACCCTGGCAAAGGCGAGATGCAAGGCTTGAGAAGCAGCGAAAGAGCTCAGAAAGATGGAAAGAAAGGGCTCCAAAGAAGCGGGATGGCAAGGGTCGTTTGAAGTGGCTCCGCCGTCCCCGATGCCAACGCAATCGGTGCCCTCTTCTTTGTCTCTCCCGCCGTGACTTGATCCCCGAATCCCAGTGACAAGCCTCCTGCTCCTGCTGGGGAAAATCCTCACAAGCAAAAAAGAAAGTCCGGATGGATTCACTCTTGACAATGAAACAGGGGAGGGAGGAAGCGATGGAAGGACGAGGGGCTGGTCTGATCACGGCTCAACCCGAGCAGGGGTCGCAGGTTCGAAAATTTTCTTTCCTTCCTTTTTCCTTCTCAACCTCTTCCATTTTTTTCCAACGTGTGATTTTTGTTTTCGCTTGTCGGTTCAAAGGGGGCTGGGGTTCTGTTTTGGCAACTTCTTGAGCCTCCTTTATGCTTGAGCCCTTGTCCTTTGACCGGGTGCGCCGATTTTGCAGTCAAGTCATGTCGGTATTCCTCTTTTTTTTCGCCTCCCCTATGCAGAGTCTGTTTCAGCTCGGCCTGGGGTCTCGCAGACGGGGACGGATGACATTCAATCCCATCCGTGGCGAAGGTAGCATTTGCCTAGACTGAGGAAAAGGGAGGAACAGAGAGTCATGGCATGGTCAGACGACGTGGGCACGAGTTGTCGAAGTCGGTGCTACTTGGATGGCATGTATCTGATGCTCCGTATACGTGCATCGCCTTCATGTTTGGTCGTAGATCAGTAAAGCCAACGCTTTAACCGTTGAACAGGAGGGACTCGCTTCGCCGTGCTGTGCAAAGGCGGTGGCATGATGACTGACAGGACAGGAGCAGGACGGGACGGGA